GCCCATATTTCCTTAGCTAATTACTTTAAGGCTGTCGTGCTACCATGAGAGTTCGTTTGATAGCAGAATTCTAACTAGATTCAGGTCCAAAACTAGCTAATTCCTTGTCTGCTGGAGAATAAAACCCAAAATTGCGTGCACGAAGCGTTCGTGAGATATGTTACTGATATATCTTACGATAGGTCACGACTGGACTATAGTAAATATACAGGGTGGTTAAGATAATAATTTCAGACCGGAGAAAGGATACAAATTGTTCTCATTAAAGGTATTTAAATTAATTGCAGCCTGAAAGTATGATGTCTTATTATTTAAAAGTCAGTTTGAATTTACTGAACGAAAGATTACTGCTATTACACTAAAAGACACTATAGGAAGTATTCCAAGTACACAGTAGACAACGGCTTGCTGTGTATTTAAATAACTAGGCAAACCTTACCAGATACCTACTTTAATTTATTAATGAAAACTAGTGGTTTGTTTAGAAGCACCTACTGCCTACCTCGAAAAAAAGTCATACAACTTTTAAAGGTTTTCAAGAGTATCTTTATCCAACTTCAGTATTCAGTATCTTTCCGTCTCTACTTTTACACACCCTGTATTAAGACCACCTACAAGATTGGTCGAACTAGAGTATGCCCTAATAAAGTGTTAGTGAAATAGTAGTCGAGGTAGTTAATCTTGTTTTATTGTTTGGTAGAACATTTCAGTTTCCTACTTGGGAGTCGATTTCTGTCTATGCCCCATTAAAACAAAGGCTGAGATTATGTTTTTAAATCATTTTGTATGGCCTTTGTCGAAATCAAAACCAGATCTGCCTCTTCACAAGTATTTAGGCTGTTCCCAACATAATAATTGGTTTTTCAGTAGAGCCTGTTGTAGGCCTAGTGCTTAACTGACTCCAACGTTAGAGAGACTTCAGTCTCTTTTAGATTTTTATGCTCTGCCACGTCATATGTCAATATCACCTCTCCCGTCACTCCCGTGCCGCTTCCATACATCAGGTATTGACTCCGTTAAAGACAACATAATTCGCTTGTATGATCATTCATAGTTTTTTTAAAAACTATTCTCAAGTCTTGAGCAAAATTGAAAAAAAAGGTTTTTCATTTATTCTCAGTTCCAAATCGCGGGTAGTATGACACACCCTAACCAAGTCCCTTCGGAGCGAGTCAATTATCAAGGTACCTTCAATTTATTAGCTAGGCGGAGCTACAAATGACCCTTTTGTCTTACGACTTAATTATCTGTAGGAGTGTTTCTTTAGTCAATGCAATGGCTTGTTCACTGACAATTGATTAATTAATCGCTGCATCACACATTAATCAACTTTGAAGTTGCCGACTTGATAAAAGTACGGTTAACTGTCTTTGCTGTCTTCGAGCGTGGGTAAAACCTTCTTTTTTTAGTGTGATGAATCAACCGCATGTTATCCAGCTAGGTAACATTAAATTATTCTTTTACCTTTATTTTTTATCTTTTGTAAGTTGGGATACTTAGTATCCCATCAAAAACAATACTTGTCAAAAAAACCAAGTCTCGCAACTCAGTTGTTCTACGGTAAAAAGTTGTGAGATCCATGTAATACCAAGTCCAGGCCAGGAAATCTTTAACGTTTTACATAAATTATTGACTTGGCCATCGCACTAAATAATTTAATTTACTCGTATTTTCATGCGATGGCCAAGTCAATATATTTATGTAAAACGTTAAAGATTTCCTGGCCTGGACTTGGTATTACATGGATCTCACAACTTTTTACCGTAGAACAACTGAGTTGCGAGACTTGGTTTTTTTGACAAGTATTGTTTTTGATGGGATCTCATTTCTTTTTGTATTTTGTAGACAGCAGTTATGTATCTAGAAAACTGGACCGAAATTGAAAAATTTTACTCGACTTGGCGGTTGCACTACCGTGCCCCCAAATATTTTAGTTTTTCCTTGATTCATACACCAAACACTACTTATATTCCAAATTTGAAGCTTCTAGGTCTGCTAGAAGTGCCTTAGAATTTTGATGATCGGTGAGTCAGTCAGTGAGTCAGTGAGTCAGTGAGTCAGTGAGTCAGTGAGTGACAAAATTAAGTAACTTTGACCCGTTATAATTCTTAAACTACTGGTTCAAATTGAATGAAATTTTAAATATACCGTGTCTTTACAATGCCTGCATAGCTAATGAAAATTCAGCCTTCTAGTTTTATCTACAACGAAGTTACAGGCGGTCGAAAATGGCCTGAATTGCTTCGAGAAAAGGATGGTACGGCCGTGCCGCTTTTTTGCTCGACTTGGTGGGGGCACTGCCGTGCCCCCAGATTAAAAGGTGTGTTTGTTTACAGTTTTTAACAGCGAACCAGACAACAGTAAGGTAGTTGGAAAGAAGAAATGACGGATATAATGCTTACTATAGTATTTAGAATGTCATTACCGAAGGAGGTATGTCATTATTACTAATAGTGTCTAAAGACTTATCGAAGTTTTGTTTTGCCAAAACATCTACGCCTGACTCTGTGACTTTTTACTTACTACCCCCAACTACTACAATTTTCTATGAATACCTTTATGTTTGTTACTAAGCGAATTTATAATTCTTAATATGAATAAAGATCTTAAACCAAAAAGTGTCTGAAGACTTATCGAATCTTAGTCGGGCTTCTTCATACAAAACATTGCGTATACGAACTCCACAAGAAAATACACTAAACATTTTAACATGAAAATAAGCCGTCTGAGAGCGAAGTGACTATTTTTCGCATCAAATCGTCAGCTTAACACGGAATCGTTACCAATTTGGCTGACGTCCCCCTCCCGGGCCTGGGGCGCCGGCGAATGCCTATCAATTGTGCGTTCCAGGAAAAAAGGAACGAATCGGTACACATTACTGAGCGCCGGAGGCGTCCTTCAAAAGGGTACAACGATACATTCAATGATAGAAGTGGTATTTCTGATTTTCGGGTAATCGCGATTTATGTGTACTGTGGGGGGGTAGGTAAGAGCTTTTAAACTGAGATTTGATTGACATGAAAAAGGTGTTATTCGCAACAAACCAATATTGCCTATTTTATAAGTTAAACAACTACTTCATGAAATTCTGCAGATTAAAATAATTTCACTCCCATAGCATCTCAGGGAAAACTTCGAACTCCTCCTATGTTCTTCTGATTAAATTCGTTGCGGGTCCAGTGACAGTTTAACTTTCCCCCGGGACAAACTTGACCTTCACTGGTTGGGTTTTCATTGGCGGTCAAGCTGTAGATCCTGGCTACACAGGAGTTGCAGCGGTGGAAACGAGAGGTGGGAATAATCCCGTATCTCAGGAAATCCCCGTGAAATAATGCCACATCCATTCACCATACCTCTGCTACCCGCTTAAAATTCACGGGCTCACTCGTGTGACAGATTGCATTTACCTACCAAATAGCCCAGAGTATCACTTACCCGGGCTAATATAAAGATGGCGGATTCCCGCCACGCCGCCGGAATGTTAGAGGAATTACTTTTCTATTATAATTCATTCTTCAAGCCAAAAAAGGGTTTGCGAAATGAATGTTAAGTGGGTCTCCAGTGTTGATACATGTTTTAAAAAGACTGGAAGCTGATGGGACACATTCAATATTATGGATTTAGTTCGATGGAAATACAGTATTTGAAATAACTAGACCAGTTCTATCTACTTGGGTACCTATCTATCGTGAGGTTTTGAATAATTAACTTGGGTTAAAAAGCTAGTGCCAGATTTGCACTTGGTGCCATAGCTAAAAGCATTTTCAGAAAATCTTGTGTGGATTTCATACAATTTTAAATTCATGTCTCCTATCTTCTGACCCAGGCAGTCTTGTGACATTGACGGAATATCCTTTCCATTCAATTCCAAAGTGAATGAAAGATGAGGATAACCAGAATTTTGATGGAACCCTCTGAATTTTATTGCTCTATATCTATCAGAAATGACACAACATAAAGAAAGAAAAAGAAAAGGAAGTTAATAACACCCTAAGAAGATATTTAAGACTCATAATCTTTTGGCACTACATTATACCTCTATCCACCCTTGAACAAGCCGATACTCTAATTATTTTAAGACTGACTGCCGAGACTAGACACAATATCGTTCGTCGTAGTGGCGTCCAACATATTAAAAGGAGTCTGATACTAGAAAAGAACTAACATGCAATTACTAAAGTAACTGAACAGATAAACAAAAGCAGTGAAATGTGTCGCGACTCCAGCGAGGAAGCGTCGCGGTCGCTGCGCGTAAGCCGAGCCGCGGCGCAAGGCTGCGCGCGCGCAAGGTCACTGCCACTGCACATGTAGATTGCTGTCCTGAGCGGGACGGGTTTTACAATTTTTTTAATTAACACCCCAAAATATACTTGAGAGTATAGAGAATATTACTCAGTCTGATTTACCCTCCTTCCTTCTTAGCTTCTCCCCTACTGAATCCCAAAGTTATTAAACGGCATTGAAGAAATCGACAAATGAATTGTCAAAATCTGCTCGATACATGCAGTAACTTGGTTCTACTACCGTAAATACTTGTGGTTGGAAACTTAAGCATCAGTTTGGTTTGACTGTAAAAAAGGTAGGTAGTCCTTGTCTTTGATCAATCTTTGAACAATGTTTGTATCAGTCTCTCCTAAACATTGTTTTTGTCCAACAGCCCCAAATTCATAACAACTAATCGCGACTACTTGTGCTTGCATCTAAAGTCCGGTCTCCGAGCACGTAGAATTTTGTCCAATGGCCCAAGCGACTGTGCGACGGGCGCCTGCAGTGAGTGTGCAAGCGCGACAGCAACATAATTACACCCGAGTGATAAGGATGGGTAGCTTGGGGTCATTGGACAAAATTCTACGAGCTCGGCGACCAGACTATAGTAGGATAAATCTAGGCTAAGTTAGTTACCATGTTTTCCTACAAATTGATTTTATAGATTGTATCCAGTTTTACGAGTCAAATAAAAAAAAAAACAATTTGAACTCACCAACTTTATTTATTTCCAGCGCGTCCGCACTTTCACAACCTCCCTCGACGAGCTCGCCTCCCGCGTGCAAGGCGCGGAAGCGGCGCGCGCGTCGTGGCGCGGGCCCGGCGACGCGCGAGACGCGCGCGCGCAGTTGGACGCGGTCACACGCGCGCGCGCGCAACTCCCGCCGCTGCGGCGCTTGGCTGATGAACTACACGCGCAGGCCCAAGCGCTGCAGCGGGACAAGATACAGCTGCCCGAGCATCTGCTGGGCAGGCTCGATGACTTGAATACGAGGTTTGTACAATACTACGACTACATCACCATGTTTGTTTCAAATAGTTCCCATCACAATACTAGGATACTTAGTGGCCCCAGTGCTTAGCTAAAATATGTCATAGCTCAGCTAAAATATGTCGGTATAAATTCAATTAGTTAGTTGGTGCTTCTTAGGTATTAATAATTTATTGAAGGTTAAAATGGCCTTACCAAATTAAAGCTTTAGTTACTTTACTTTGCATCTTTTCCATGCATGAAGTTGCATACCTACCCTGCGGGGACAGGATAGAGTGGGAAGGAACTGCGGGATTCTGGCCAAAGCCTTCTTTGCCACAGTTTTATCCGACGATTGCCCTAAAAGCTCTTCACCTTAAGTGGGAAAGGAACAGTGGGATTCCGGCCAAAGCCTTCACTGGCACAGTTCCTCCCGGCGATTGCCCGCCTTCACGGCAGGCCCTAAAAGCTCCCTGAGTTGGGGGACGTGTATAAGTTTCCTGCTTCAGCTAAATGTTGTATCTTCCCCAGGGTGGGCGCGCTATGCGCCGGCGGCGAGGAGCGCGCGCGGCAGCTGGCCGGGGTGGCGCGTGACGGCGGCGCAGGCGCAGCGCAGGGCTTCCTCGCCGGCTCTGTGGACCCACCGTGGGAAAGAGCCGTCACGCCTGCCAACGTACCTTACTATATCAAGTAAGTTAAGTCTCCTTTAAACCACTGCTGGGTTACTCTTCAAAGAGTTCTTCAGGAGAGGCGCAGGGCTTCTTAACCGGGCCTGTGGGACCGCGCCGTAACGCCAGCCAACGTACCATACTATATCGAATGACTTTTACCCGCCACTTCTGACTTCTTGGATCTACTTCTGAATTACACTTTAAAGAGTAGAAGAAGAACCCTCTCCTGACTGTAAATTGAGAATGAGAAGTAACTATGACTACTATGAGACAGCCGCCGCCATCCAGGACACGAGCACTTCCATTCTTCCCGTGCAAACATTTCTCCTCACCTTGCGAAGGGAACTCGACCTTCGCCGGAAGAAGTGTTCTTAGAATCATCATATCAGCCACAGGATGACAGGAACATCCACTGCTGAACATAGGCCTCCCCCAATGGTTTTCATAATGACCGATTGGTAGCGACCTGCATCCAGCGCCTTCCTGCTACCTTTATGAAGTCGTCGGTCCACCTTGTGGGTAGACGTCCTACGCTGCGCTTTCCGTGGCTTCCACTCCAGAACCTTGCTGCCCCATCGGCCGTCTGTTCTGCGTACTATGTGCCCTGCTCATTCGATGTTCCTAGAATCATCATATTCAAAAACTCATTTTTAACCTTATTCATCATCATCAACAGCCCTTTACAGTCCACTGCTGGACTATGAGCCTTATTACAGTGACAATAAAGTTTCTTATCCTCCACAGCCACGAATTAGAAACGACACACTGGGACCACCCGAAGATGATCGAGCTGATGAACTCGCTGGCCGACCTCAACGAGGTGCGGTTCTCGGCCTACAGAACCGCGCTGAAGCTCCGGACTGTACAGAAGGCGCTTTGCAGTGAGTATTGTGTGCTCTATTGGGGATATAATAAGGTCGAAGTTAGAATACCATTAGGAAATCAATAAGGTTGAAGTTGAAATGACAAACATTTTTGACTAAGTTTTGATCATTGTTCTTTCTTCATTTTGAAATTGGCTGGTATTAAAGACCGCGCTCAAGCTCCGGCTGTACAAGAAGCGCTTTGCAGTGAGAATTGTGTGCTCTATTGGGAATTTTTTAAGGTTGAAATTGGAATATCATTAGGAACCTAAAAGGTCCAAGTTAAAATGACAAACTATTCACTGGGTTTGAATGTTGTTCCTTCTTCATTGAGAAGCTTCAAGCAAACACCTTATCACACAAAAATAATTACTGAACCACTGCGCCAATAGGTCCCTCCCGATCAGCATATTTATCTTGGCATGCTCGTAAGGACATGTCAAGAAGCTGGTCTTCCGCGGACGTTCTTGCTTTTGGCATCGCGCATCCTTTCGAGGAGACACCGACTTAGTTCGATATCCCTCAAAAGGTTGGGCAATACCGTGGTATATGTATGTAGGTGGGTAGTAAAGGGTCTTAATACTCACAATTTTGCATTTCAGTGCACATGCTCCAGTTACCAGCAGCCTTAGAGGCCTTCGACTCGCACGGGCTCCGTGCGCAGAACGACCGACTCATCGATATCCCTGACATGATCACCGTACTTACGTCGCTATACGAGGTAAGTTCAAATCTAGATAGAGCATTATGACTCCACTTACAAATTGTCTGCTTCATCACTCAACGTTGATAAATAATTTTGTCGGTTTTGGCAACTCTGCGTGACAATCTTTGCTATTCAAGAAAGAAGTAAGATGAAGACTTTATAGCTGATGCTGTTCTGCTGGAAAAAAAACGAAGGATAAGCATCTTCATGTGCTTGGTCAAGTCAGGGCTCCATTAAACTCTTAATTCGTAAAATTCGTAACCGACTCCACACAGCAGCAGCAGACGACATGTCACCGAAACTGTCACATGTAGGTATTTCTATAAAATACTTTCAGAAGACGTATCGCTAGCAACGTAGCAACAGATGCTATTTCATAGAAATATATAGAAACCAGTAGTATCGCGACGACACATCGCCTGCTGCTGCTGTATGGAGTCGGCTACGAACTTGCACCTTTAAAGGTCATAGCAGACTTATCAACTTGGAAAGGGAGCACCGTATAGCCTTTCGCGGGCTGTCATCGCCTTTCGCGCGCTGTCAACCGCGAGGCGAGGCGTTTTCGTTACGGGGCGGTAAATACAGGGTGTCCCGTAATGTAACGTCAAGCCGGAACTGGGTGTTGAGGCAAGTTATGCTGGTTATCAGAAAAATATAAAAAAAATCTATGTGGCATATTTTCAAAATAATGGGCATTTAAAAAAAATCAAAAATTTTTACTCCATGTGACGGTCTTTTTACTCGTGTTGCCACAAATCTTCACTTTTTCCAAATTTTTTTTTTTGTTATTTAACCCTGAATAATGCTTCTCTAAATTGTTATCAAAATTACAAAACCAGCTGCTCCAACTTGGATGAAAAAAATACATTATTCCCAAAAAAATTTTCAAAATAAAAATTTTGCCTAGTTTAAACTGACTGTACTGAAAAAAAATTGTACTACGCGAGTGTGGCAAGTGACGTCATAATTTGGCGCATTTAGTAAGGATTCCAAAATGGTATAACACTTGGTAAATTCTTGCTGTAATTGTCGACAATTTTTGGTTTTTTGGAAATAATCCCGTTTTTAACTTTATCTACCTTGGTTAAAAATTATTATTCTAATGTGCCCAAAATTCAAGTTTCTGGCTTAAATGAGGTGGAGAAGCCATTTTAAAAGGTATGAGCGGGACGGAGAGGGCCATCTTACCAAGCAGGGATGTTATGGATATCCGTAACCGTAACCGAAACTATCGGATATCCGAAATAAAAAAATATCCATAACCGTAACCGAAACTGATTCAAAAGTTACGGATAGTTTCGGATAAANTAGAAATTTTTGATTTTTTTTAAATGCCCATTATTTTGAAAATATGCCACATAGATTTTTTTTTATATTTTTCTGATAACCAGCACAACTTGCCTCAATACCCAGTTCCGGCTTGACGTTACATTACGGGACACCCTGTATACGTTGCAGTACGGAGTTTCGTACAAATAATACTAACCGCCTCGAGTTTTACGGTTACGATCCCTTTTCGGGTTGATAAATGTGCTACATTCTTAAAGGCTCCTCAAAAAAGTCTTCGGTTCAACTCAATTATTTAACATATCACATACTATTTCAGGTAATAGCAGCAGAAAACCCAAGCCTGGTGAACGTGCCTCTTTGCCTGGACCTGTCCATCAACTGGCTCCTCAACGTGTACGACAGCCAGCGCACCGGCCAGATCCGCGTGCTCAGCTTCAAGGTCGGCCTCGTGCTGCTCTGCAAGGGACATCTGGAGGAGAAGTATAGGTGAGGACTTCAATGGTATTTGGAATGGCTGTCTTACCATAACTGCCTCTTTCTTTGCAGGGGAATCAATTGATTTTTATTGGCATGCATTTTTATTGGCTTGGATGGGATTATAAGATTGCTAATCATAATCATTTATTTGCATAGGGTAGGGTAGGGTAATTACTAAACTAAACTTAAAGCCACGATAGCCGAACGGTGAAGGGGTCGAACTGGCCGACTCGTGATCCGGAGAACGCGGGTTCGGTCCCCGCCGCCGCTCGACTATTGTGGTGAGCTCACTCGTGACACAAGCATATTTAGCTTAGTACGAGGGGCTAACGGCTAAATCTATAAAAAAAAAAGCATAACTGGTTTGCACATACCATTATACAGAAGTTGCAGCATAGTTATATCCTTGTACACCTTTTTGCAGCACAGTTATCTTCACTCAACTAATATTTCTTGGTCCATTTCAGATATCTATTCCGGCTCATCGCAGACCCCTCATGCAGAGCTGATCAACGAAAATTAGGATTACTACTACACGACTGCATACAGGTATAATAACAGCACTAAAATCCGTTACTTCATTCATTCCTCAACACCTTGCTAAGTCAACCAAAGCAGCAAAAAAGCATGACCATACTGTTATAAGTTCGAATCGTAGCCATTCGGGTAATTTTCGTCCCCCAGTAACTTTATTTTGAAAAACAACAGCAGATATCAACCATTTAGAATGTCAGATTCCCTCAAACGTATTCCGTAGCAGGTCCTTCGACAACTGGATGAAGTGACCACACAGGCAGAGTGTCAGATATCTTAGACTCATAATTTATTTGCAGGTCCCTCGACAACTGGGTGAAGTGGCAGCCTTTGGAGGTTCCAATATCGAGCCGTCGGTAAGGAGCTGCTTCGAGCAGGCTTCCGCCGCTACCAAAGACGGCAACAAGGGTGGCACTCTTGACAGGAAGGCGCCAGGTGAGTTCCCTTACTTTTTAGGTATTTACCTTGATGATGTCCTGGCAAATTGATCAGTACATTTGGATTAAGATTAGGGATGGTTAATGGTTGATGGATTCAGCAGAATTTGCTTTTGATCCAGTATCTGGTACTGGATTGAAAATGCAACCCCTAATTTTGAAACAATATACCATCAGATCATCTGGTCTCCGTAGGAGATTGAGCCTATTTGACAGGGGCAGACAAGTTTAGTCTACACTCCCCATGTCACTAGGGAGTTAGTTCCCTTCCTGACCACTGTAGGTATATCCTGGGCACACAAGCGGTGCCTTACAACCACTGCTTCCTGCCCGAACACCCTTCGTTGACCAAACTCGTTGGGGAGGCCTGATGTTCATCTATTTGCACTTCGCTTCGGCTTTACGACAGCCACGGGTAGAGTGGAAGTCCTATTACCCTTTTTTTTAAGCGGATGAAATGCTATACGCACTGTGTGGTGTATACCATCGTGTGGTATGTAGGACTCCCGACGCCCTGAAAAGGCAGCTGCCCCATCCTGAAAAAGCCGCTGCTAAGTCCTGAAAAGGCCGCTGCTCCGTCCTAAAAAGAACGCGGTATACTCACTAAAACCTCCGCAACGTTCCATCATCGCCCGAGTGGGGGTATCACGACTATACGGCCGTAACCTTAAACTTCCAACACAAAGTCCTATTACCCTAGTTTAACTATCTTTTGCCATTACAGAGAAAGAAAAAGACAAAGAAGACACCAGCGACAAGACCCTCGAACGAACACCAGACGGGCAGCTGCAGTTCATCGAGGCCTTCCATTTCCTGCAGTGGCTGCAGAAGGAGCCGCAGTCCATGGTGTGGCTGCCCGTGCTGCACCGCCTGGCCGCCGCCGAGCAGGCCAAGCACCAGGCCAAGTGCAACATCTGCAAGGACTACCCTATTGTGGGATTCAGGTCAGTTCTGGATTGATGGAGAACCGGCTAATTTGTATCTGACAACTTAGCATATCAGTGACGTTGGGCCAGGGAACTTAAAGCCAGACCAGGTATGCCATGATGCACCAGGTGATGCCAAGCACCAGGCCAAGTGCAATATCTGCAAGGACTACCCTACTGTGGGATTCAGGTCAGTTGTAGCGTAGCGCCAGGGGATTTAATAGGAGATTCAGGTCACTTCTGGATTGATGGAGAGCCGGCAAATTTGCACCTGACAACTTAGCATGAACCCATAAAATACCAGCGACGTTGCGCCAGGTAAAGTCCGGTCGCCGAGCAGATATAATTTCGTCCAATGACCCCAAGCTACCCATCCTTATCGCTCGCGCGTAATTATATTGGCAGCCGCAGTGAGTGTGCGAGCGACTTTAACTTAAAACCAGACCAGGTGATGCCATGATGCATCACATGCCATGACGCACCAGGGCAAGTGCAAGGACTACCCCATCGTGGGATTCAGGTCAGTTCTAGTGTAGCACCAGGGGACTTAGTAGTAGACCAGGTAAAACCATGCTGCATGAAACGATTTAATATCAGACCAGGAGATGCCATGCTGCATCAGGTGACTTAATATCAGCCTAGAAGATACCATGCCGCACTAACTGACTTACTAGAAGACCCTAGACGCACCAGGTGATAGGACTGGCGATTTAGTCTCCCACCAGGTGATGCCATGTCGCGTCAAGCACCAGACTAGGTGACTTGGTTCCAGACCAAAAGTTGCCTTAAAGCACCTGAAGACATCTGGACTAGTCGATTTACTACATCACGTGACTTTATACATATCCAGCTGACATCATGTCACATCCCAACTAATATTATAAATGCGAAAGTAACTCTGTCTGTCTGTCTGTCTGTCTGTCTGTCTGTCTGTCTGTCTGTCTGTCTGTCTGTTACGCTTTCCCGCTTAAACCTCGCAACCGATTTTGATGAAATTTGGCATAGAGATAGTTTGAGTCCCGGGAAAGAACATAGGATAGTTTTTATCCCGGTTTTTGAAACAGGAACGCGCGCGATAAAGTTTTTCTGTGACAGACAAAATTCCACGCGGGCGAAGCCGCGGGCGGAAAGCTAGTGAGAAATAAATCTAAAAAATTGCAGTATTGTCGTTAGATGGCTAACAACCTAGTCCATAAAATCGTACTGTATTAAAATTTGTAAATCATGTTTTGGCTGTAACCTGTTTTGTACGTCTTAAATAAATAAATAAGTTTTATTTTTTATTGAACGTAATTTATCTCACTTCCAGATACCGCTGCCTGAAGTGCTTCAACTTCGACATGTGCCAGAAGTGCTTCTTCAGCGGCCGCAAGGCCAAGAACCACAAGCTCACTCATCCCATGCAAGAGTACTGTACTGCGGTGAGTAATTCAAAATTAACCCTATCACAAGTGCGTAAGGTACATGTCACACATGTGACATGGTATGCAGAACTGACGGCCGATGGGGCAGCAAGGTTCTGGAGTGGAGGTCGCGTACCGAAAAACGCAGCGTGGGACGTCCACCCACAAGGTGGACCGACGATATCATAAAGGTAGCAGGAAGGCGCTGGACGTAGGCTGCTACCAACCGGACAACATGAAAAGCATTGGGGGAGGCCTATGTTCAGAAGTGGACGTCCTATGGCTGAAATGATGATGATGATCAAGGTGCTACAGGCTACAGTGGTGTACAGAACAGCCTTTGTAGATACAAGGGAATGTTCTACTATCAAATTACTGCTAACCCATAATATGTCCCAGTTATCGCTACAATCCCATCGAGACAGCATCGGCTAGTGTTGAGAAGATATTGGCGGAAAAAGCTCAGTTACCTATTTCAGCCTTTTATCTATTACACTTAGGTCTTGGTTTAGACATACATATGCTATAATCGCGCGGTTTCTGGATGGTTCATCATTGGAGAGGCACTGAGGCAGCAACCGTGTGGTTAGGGTTTGACGCAAATATACCAGAACTCGGCAACCGCGCAATCATCGCTGTCTGAACCAGGCCTTAATGGGTGTCCAATCACAGAATAATAATAAGTACTACGTACAAGAGTTTTACTTCGCGAAGGTATTTAAAAAAATTTTGCTCAATGTCATTAACAATATGGTGTAATTTAGCCTGTCAAGCACCATTTTGTTGACAAACGTCAGTGATCGGCACTGCGCCGAAGCTATAGGGCTGACTTCGGTAAAATGATGTGACGTGAGGTGCCAAACTGCGGAAAATGGCGGAGGAAATACATGATTTAGCATGAATTATCATGAATAATATTAACTACTTATTTACCTCTCAGTGTCTTGAGGCAACTTAAAAAAGTACATTCTGTGTTTTATTATTATTTAGGCAGTTAAATACTGCACAGTATTTAGTACAGCATTTTCTTTATTTTCTTCCATCATAAACAAGAATACGCGTGCGTGAGTCAATGTTCGCTCGTATGTGAGGCCTTGTCGAATAGTATCCTGTAGGTGGGCCATCGTGCGTGTTTTGTTTTCGATGTAAACTCGCGGAGATGAACAGGCCTGGTCCAATGTCCATTTATGAATGGATGTATTATTTTATTTCCTATTTTTCCTGCAGACGACATCAGGCGAAGACGTGCGCGACTTCACGCGGGCGCTGCGCAACAAGTTCAAGTCGGCGCGCTACTTCAAGAAACACCCGCGGGTCGGATACCTGCCGGTACAGACTGTTCTAGAAGGTAAATACTGCTCTCTTTCTATCTCTTGCATCTCTCTCTTCCGTTTTTCCACTAGTCTCTATAATGACGTCAAAGAGTTCGTGTCACCCAAAGTAGCCAAAAATTTGACAACACAATCTTTAGTACGAGAGGGGACCGTAAGATACTCTACGTCACTTCATACTTAGATAAGCTCCATAGCACACGTTCAGAAAAGTTGTGCTAAGCTTGGAACAATTATTTAATCAACTCCATTTTTTTGCAGTTAAACGTGGTTTTGATTACGAGTACTACAACATAAACAATCATTGTCGCTCCCATCATATTCTATCTTTCTGGTATCTACAGGGTGGAAACGATAAGTGATCACACTCGATTATTTCTAAACTATACAAGATATCGAAAAACTAGTTACTGATCTTGAAAGTGCTTCCCGAGCTCTTTCAAACGGTATCAGTAATAGGTTACAGAATTAACTGGATCTATCCGAATTTAATGTTTTCAGCCTCCATACTAAATGTATGCCAGCCACACAATATTGGAAGTATTAAATTTTTTATTAAATAATAAACACTTAAAATGAACTCGTAAATTCCATTTTTATTTAAAATTGTTCATGGAAAACATTGGTTTTAGGCTTTACTTGCTATAATATTATCAAGACACGAGTGCCATGACTGTGGCAGTACCTACTAAATGTATGGAAGCTGGAAACAGAATTTTCGGATAGATCCAGTTTGTTTTGTAATTTATTGGTACCGTTGACTAGAGCTCGTAAAGCACTTTCAGGATCAGTAACCAGTTTTTGGATATCTTGTATAGTTTTTAATACTCGTATTATGTGGTTTTACTAAATGTATGGAAGCTAGAAACATTGAATATTCGGATAGATCCAGATTATTTTGTAACGTATTACTGATATCGTTGGATAGAGCTCGTGAAGAACTTTCAGGATCAGTAACCAGTTTTTGGACATCTTGTATAGTTTAGAAATAATCGAATGAGATCACTTATCGTTTCCACCCTGTATAGTAGTGTAAGTTTAACTTATTTGTGACACCATCTGGTGCCGTGTTCATTCAAGGATAATATTAATTATTTTTCTCTTATCAGGTGACGCGCTAGAGTCTCCCGCGCCGTCCCCACAGCACGGCGGCGCGGGCGGCGGGCTGGGCGCGGACGACATGCACTCGCGGCTCGAGCTGTACGCCTCGCGGCTGGCGCAGGTGGAGCGGACGGCGCCCGACCAGGACACGCCCGACAGGTGAGCCGGGGCTGGGCCAGGGTACTGTAGGACAGGGAACTGGGCCAGGGTACAGGAAGCCAGGGGACTGGACCAGGGTACAGTAGGACAGGGAACTGGGCCAGGGTACAGGAAGCCAGCGGACTGGACCAGGGTACAAGATGCCAGGAGGCGGCACCCTGGGCGCGGACGACATGCACTCGCGGCTCGAGCTGTACGCCTCGCGGCTGGCGCAGGTGGAGCGCACGGCGCCCGACCAGGACACGCCCGACAGGTGAGCCGGGGCCAGGGTACAGTAGGACAGGGAACTGGGCCAGGGTACAGGAAGCCAGGGGACTGGACCAGGGTACAGGAGGCCAGGGGGCGGGCCCTGGGTGTGGACGACATGCACTCGCGGCTCGAGCTGTACGCCTCGCGGCTGGCCCAGGTGGAGCGCACGGCGCCCGACCAGGACACGCCCGACAGGTGAGCCGGGGCTGGGCCAGGGTACAGTAGGACAGGGGACTGGGCCAGGGTACAGGAGGCCAGGAGACTGGACCAGGGTACAGTAGGACAGGGGACTGGGCAGGGTACAGGAAGCCAGCGGACTGGACCAGGGTACAGGAGGCCAGGAGGCGGCACCCTGGGCGCGGACGACATACACTCACGGCTCGAGCTGTACGCCTCGTGGCTGGCGCAGGTGGAGCGGACGGCGCCCGACCAGGACACGCNCTGGGCCAGGGTACAGGAAGCCAGCGGACTGGACCAGGGTACAGGAGGCCAGGAGGCGGCACCCTGGGCGCGGACGACATACACTCACGGCTCGAGCTGTACGCCTCGTGGCTGGCGCAGGTGGAGCGGACGGCGCCCGACCAGGACACGCCCGACAGGTGAGCCGGGGCTGGGCCAGGGTACAGTAGGACAGGGAACTGGGTCAGGGTACAGGAAGCCAGGGGACTGGACCAGGGTACAGGAGGCCAGGGGGCAGCGCCCTGGGCGCGGACGACATGCACTCACGCCTTGAGCTCTACGCCGTAAGGTTCTAGAGTGGAGGCCGCGTACCGGAAAACGCAGCGTGGGATGTCCACTCACAAGGTGGACCGACGACTTGATAAATGTAGCAGGAATGGCGCTAGATGCAGGCCGCTCCCAACCGTGCGATGAGGAAGTCATTTGGGGTTCCCTATGTTCAGTAATGGACGTCCTGTAACTGAAATGATGATGATGAAGTATACATACGCCCGTATTCACAGACATTACTATGAGGTCTCACAGTGTGCATGGACGCACAGAGTGACACATTAACCTATCAAAGAGCTCTATTCAACACTGTGCGTTCGATTTGCCGCTTCACTTAAGCAAGCATCGTTTGTGAATACGGGCGTTAGTCTTCTCGAGACCAAACAATTTTAAACCTTATTACTCACACTCTATGCCCGCTTATGAGCAAAAGAAGTATCCATCTCGGGCGACACATCATGCACCCGGATGAGATAGCAGATATCACGCTCCAAAGAATCTGGAAATTTATAGACTCAACGGGACTAAGCAGTGAACTGAGTTCACTGAACTCTAAAGACAAGGGCTGCCACAATACATCAAACCTGGTTGAGCTGGCGCAAATGAAGGCCCAAAAAACCAATAATAATAATAATTGTCACACTCTAAACCCCTTACTCTCCAGCGACGAGGAGCACCAGCTGATCGCGCAGTACTGCCAGTCGCTGAACGGCAGCGGCGGCGCCGACGCCGACGACGCGCCGCGCTCGCCCGTGCAGGTCGTCTCCATCATCCACCGCGAGCAGCGCCACGAGCTCGAGGCCATGATCAGGTACTGATGATGATGCGTCGATCTTCCATATGCTATTCTTCCATCTCTCTTCCCAGTCACATTATTTTCCCATTCAATATAAATATAATTCGGGCCTTTTCAAGGCGAAAGTGAATATATGCACTTACAGGTCAGATATGTTCCATCCTAGACTGCATCCCACTTAACATCAGGTGCGATTGTGGTCAAATACCTGCCTTGTTATGCATAAAAAAAAATTCATCAATCCTTACACTCCCCGATTCTCCCTGACATTCTTCCATTTCTCTTCCCAGTTTCTTTCCCCATACATCCATTCTTCCACTTCCCGATTCTCCTATCTCTTTGTTTCTATTTGTCATTTCTATTTCCCACTTTCCCATCCCTCGTTTTTCATTTTCCCAATCTCACTTCCCATATTTGATTGATTCTCTTCTCTCATTGTCTCAAACCCCACTATCCAATGTCCCGTTTTCCTATCATCCATCTGCCATTCTCTCCCATCATCCATGTCTCATTAGCTCACTCTTCTATTGACCCATTTCCACTCTTCTATTACGAAACTCTAGTATGTTAATCATGTTACGCATATAACAAAGTGACTTACCTGTTTTAGAAAGTATTTTTGACCATCCAGTGATTTGGTGTAATCTAACCAATGATCAAGTTGCAGATCCAAGCTACACATTTAGGAATGTGAGCAATCTCCATATCTTCCATTCTCACTTGACGTCACAGTCCTATCGTTCTCCTTATCTTTAAGACAGTACTGGAACGTCATTGGGCGAATGATATTCCAAAAGTCTTCTCCCTTCTTTCTTCCCTCATTTAACGTCAAAGTCCCAGTATTCCCTTACTACCTCGACAATTATATTAAACCACCTACCCTCACAATTGCAGGGAGCTTGAGGAAGAGAACGCGAGCCTGCAGGCGGAGTACGAGCGGCTGAAGGCCAAGCAGACGCCCGGCTCCACGCCCGACGACCAGCAGGCCGACCGCAACGCGCCCGTCGACCAGGTCAGACTATAGCTGTAAAGTTAGGAGGGATCAGACTCTAGTAGGAGTAAGGGAAGATAATGAATGGGGAGCATAAAGCTGTAGAATTAGGAGGGATCAGACTCTAGTTAAGGAGTACGGGAGGATAATGAATGGGGAGCATAAAGCTGTAGAATTAGGAGGGATCAGACTCTAGTTAAGGAGTAAGGGAGGATAATGAATGGGGAGCATAAAGCTGTAGAATTAGGAGGGATCAGACACTAAGGGGAGGATAAAGGGAACTCTTTACTCTAACTGTAGGATAAAAGAAAACTGTATGCGGTCGTTGACCAAATCAGGATTAATGGTTGAGAAGTTATGAGCCTGTGTGTGTGCAGCGTTGGGGAGAACTCATTGTACGACATGAAAAAGTCAGTATGGTAGTCGACCAGGTCAGAACAATGGTTGATTGAGGAGTTGCTAGCTGTAAAATTAGGGGGAATCGGACAATATTTTAAGAGTAAGGGAAGGATAAGGGGAACTCATATTTTTATCGCTCACTAACCCTCTTAGTTACACCAAGGATAAATTTTGGATTATACTAAATGATAATTTAAGCCAGAGTTCAGCTAGGGTGTAACTTTTATTAATAAGGGAGTATAGGTACATAACTCTCTGTACGACTGTTGACCAGATCAGGACCCTAGTTGAGGAGTCACTGAGTTGAACTTTATAACTAACATCTTTTGTTCACAATACATCAAGTTAAAGACTGTAGCGTCTAATAGGTGCTATTTAGCAACAAAATACTGACTACCTTGATGATGTTTCCAGGACATGATGGCGGAGGCTCGCCTACTGAGACAGCACAAGGGAAGGCTGGAGGCACGCATGCAGATCCTGGAGGAGCACAACCGCCAGCTCGAGGCACAGCTGCAGCGCCTGCGCCGCCTGCTCGACGAGGTACGACCCTAACACACGGCCGTAAGGTCCACAATGCGGTAGCACGAGACTTGTAAGGCCAAGGAGGCTTGAAGGACCAGGCCACCCAGGCACGCCAGGTCAGCCAGGACAATCTGGACCTGATATACCAGGACAGCCATGCACTCCAAGACACTTAAATTTAAGGGACTTAGTTCTAGTTTTGCCGTTATTACTCGTGATATTCAGTAATATTTTATATAAATTTTCATTGATAATGTCCAATACGAAATGCGAATAAACCCCTGTAGTTAAAAGAACTAAGAAGGGGGCAGATGAATTGAATAAGTGTCCTTAACCACTCAAATTCAAATATTTTACTCAGTACATAGGCCTTTTCCAGGGCACTTATACACGTCCCAAATATAGCTTGCCCTACCACCACTTCGGGAAGAAACTCAGTCACCTTTGTCAGCCTCTTTTTCAATAAAACACAGTAATTTATAGTTTAGTTTACATGACACGCAATAAATGATGCGAGCTAGACAGGTAAAATCCACACACTGGGGTGGTAACTTATTATTAGTGCAACCATCACCCCGGTGGCAAGCTCGAAGGGGGTAAATGGGAATGAAGGGATTTAAAGATACAGCTAAAGCCTGGTCCGTGAGCACGTAGAATCCCGTCCAATGACCCCAAGCTTATATCCTTACCACTCGCGCGTAATTATATTGCTGTCGCGACTTTGCGACGGGCGCCCGCAGTGAGTGTGCGAGCGCGACAGCAACATAATTACGTGCGAGCGACAAGGATGGGCAGCTTGGGGTCATTGGACGGGATTCTACGTGCTCACGGATCAGGCTTTAGATGGTTACTAAAGTCTGGTCGCCGAGCTGCCCGAGCACGTAGAATTTCGTCAAATGACCCCAAGCTATCTTTATCGCTCGCGCGTAATTATATTGCTGTCGCGACTGTGCGACGGGGCGGTCACAGCGAGTGTGTGAACCAAGGTGATAATAAATGAAAGCAATAATAATACTTTCCCTCCAGCCGGCGCAGGGCTCGCCACCGGCGCGCACGGGCACGCTGCAGACGCGCTCGGTGACGGCGTCGCAGCTCGCCACCGACTCGCCCGCCAAGATGCACAACGGGCTCTACCACGACGCACATACCAGTGAGTTCAATACTTGTTGTGTAGTGACTTTACCCGGGACAAACTTGACCTTCACTGGTTGAGATTTGTTGGCGGTGAAACCAGATCGGATATGGTGGGAACGAGACAACAACATATTTCTTCATTCCATTCCCGGGTGTAGCAAGCAAATTTTTGGAAATCTTTGAATGCAGTTCTATTTCTTTTCAAAAATAAAGGAATGTTTTCTTTGAGTAAAAATTTCTATCTACAGTATTAAGAGTACTTTCCCTTCAGGTGGCATTACAAAATTCCACCCTGTATAATACGAGCCCATGCGTCAGTGTGGACGCACCATTAAAATCTTCATATTATGAACCATACACTCCTCGTTATAAGGAAAGCTTAGGAAAGTACACCGTAACAGACGGTTGTGGAACGGTTACAGGGTTACCAAATGTGTAGCTCCCAATATGTTACATTTAAGTTATATTTAAAATCTATATGGTCTTCGGCTCTCATTACGAAACGACACGCGCTCTGAACGCTTCAATCTCAAGCAAATTCATTCCTATTTTCTATATTCCAAACAATAATACTAAATTCATCCAATCATTGGCAATTTCAATAATAAATTCCGTCGAATATTCAATACTCAACCAAACACTGAGATTGAATCGTTCCGAGCGCGTTTCATCGGGCTCGAAGGCCCACCTGGCCACGTGACTAACGTTATGACTATGCAAGATGGCGGCGCGCGGTGGGGCGAGGGCGCGCGCGAGGAGCGGCCGCCGCCGCCGCCGCACGCGCTGCACTCGCTCATGCATTGCGCAGGTCAGAACTAGGGACGCTACCGGTATACTGTATAGTAAAGGGATAACGTCTTAATAATAGCGATCTTGGCACGTAGATTTAGCACTCTTAGTACTATTAAAGGCCGGTAGATCTATTCTCATAAATAAAACACTGGATACTTAACTTTCACAGTATATTGCCTTATTTTAGATACAAAACATCATTTAGCATAAAAGCGCGCGGAGTCGTCTCCGCGCGTCCCTCTATTCTGACGTTTGATTCTCGCGTGACATTGACAATACGTCAATGTCACTATGACAGCAGCTCATTGGCTATAACGATACCGCTATTTTAACGTTTTATATTTTTCACAATTAACAGTACTTTGGTCAACACTTAAGAGATTCATGTAGACGCAGTTTTTAAACTAACGCCCGGTTTAAGTTTTTAAAGTAAAGCGCTCGCACACTCACTGCGGGCGCCCGTCGCACAGTCACGACAGCAATATAATTACGTGCGAGCAACGTGCATCCTTATGGTTACAAATTAAAGTGGACTTCCTCTATTAAGTACATAAGCACCTGTGTTAGAGGAAGCCGCTCTAGCATTGTAGAAAACCTTGGTAGAGTGCAGTAAACATATCGAACCAAAAGAAAAACAAAAATGAAAGTGTAATAGGTTCACTCACTCACTTCTATAGGTCAAGGGAGATCCGACTCTCAAACTTGAAGTCGGCAGTCCGATGCAGACACCGTTGGACTATTGTCGCCTCTACGGATGGGCATAAAACTGTTACTTGTGTACGAATATTACATTATATAATCAATTTTACAACTAAATCAATTAATTTTCCCAATGGACTTTGTATTGGACAACTAAGTTCTTGTGGAAATTTTTCAATTCTCTTCGAAATTCGCGACTATCTCTATTTCTGCAAAATCGAATCGCTACTATGAAGACGTTCTTTAACTTTACTATGATACCGGGTCTGCTTCGCAAAGCGTATCCAATCGCCATCTCTCTTACTCATATTAGAATTCCAGTATGAGCGAGAGAGACAAAGATGGACGTTTTGCAAAGTAACGTTTGTTGTTAGCGTTGTAGTGTCTGGAGTTGAATGCAATTTATTTTGTACAAAGCTATAGTTTTTTTTGCACTGTTTTTGTACATTGGATATTTTTTGGAATACCTAATCAGTAGGTATGTCATAGATGTCGCACTTTATTTGTTATATACGTTTTTGTTTTTAGTTTTAGTTTGGTCATAGGTAGATGTCGCACTTTATTTGATAATACGTTTTTGTTTTTAGTTTTCGTTTGGCGTTTTATTTTTCAGTTGGAGTTGCCACGCTGTTTTGTAGATGTCGCTTTATCACGACAGATCGCATGGTGTTTGCATGATTTTATTGTCGTCTATTCGATTGATTGTAATTTGTATTTTTTTTTCTGTTTTCGCAAACCTAACAGGACGCATACCTTGAGGTAATGATTTTGTTGTTTTTGACGAAAATATCATTTATTACAAATACTTAATTAAAGAGCAAATTCGCTCAGCGAAACTAACTTAAGAAACTTACGGTCTACGCGATCAAATTAGGGCTATCGTTGAACGCTAAGCTCACCAGTATCGACACTGGTAAAGTTGTCACTTGCCACTTTGCCAGTGGTGTCAATGCAAAACTATTCTGTAAAGAGAGTGAGATGGTAAGAATTGTAGCTCAAGATTTAACAAGGGTATTTCAATTTCCAGATGACCTAGGCCGCGCCGTCGAAGAGTTAGTTTCCGTGATGACGGAGGACCAGCCAGCGCAGACCACCGCTCCTCCGCAGTACACCAACGGAAAGCCAGCCAAGGAGTGACCGCCCCATGGTGCTGACGCGGGCAACCCCGCTTTATTCCCGTCTGGCAACACTGTCCTTTGCCATTTTAAATTTTTTATTGAATAATAAACCTTTTTCCAAGTTGTCTGGGTTCAAATTCCCAATTCAAAGGTTAACTGTATTATATTTTGGTTTGGCTATTTCCTACTAATTTTCGACTCATCACTAACAATTGCACATGCTGTACAAATGACTTCTACCTTATTATACAAAAGCTCTAACATTCCATTCATCATTTCTAACAGATGGCTTCTCGGTGTTGGTTTTCAGAAGCCTGAGTGGATTCGGCTAAACAGAGCTAATCAGTCTGACTGACTTAGTTCATGATAGCAACGGAACAAGACGATTATCGTATGCAACGCTTATTGTATAAATAAGGGCCTGCCATTGTTGCAGTACATATCGTGATGATGTCGTTAATCTTTCCTATTCTTCTTCTCTTTATACGGGCAACACTTTTGGTATTTTTAATTTTAACGGGCAACTCGACAGTGTTGCCAGAACGAATTAATCCAACGAAAAAGACAGCTAACGAGCATTTATATTAAAAAACTGTACCAAATTTATCGATACTAACATTTTATTAATTGTTTATAAGTACATATCTATTAGTACAATCTCCATTATACTATCATATCACTTCTTGTAAATTTCCATATCATTTTATGCTGTATATTGAACTGGCACGTGTATAAATATCACGAGACTCAGGTCATTGTTTTTGAAACGAAATTGGCCAGACCGGTCAGATCGGCTTGGAACTCAGTTGAGAGCTTTAATAGTAAATGTCGGAATCAAAAACATATATACAGGTGTTTACAATTTTAGACAGTACCGTTGATTTGCATGTATGCATCTTTTTGATGGCGACTTTATCACAATGTTAGCTTTAAAATACCTGTTTTGAGACGTTTTTATAATGCAATCGACGATGCAAACAAAGCACGAATCCAGAAACGAGGGCCTACGTTTTAGTGGAAAATGTACTGTTAATCATAGATAGTTGTTTCCAGCCTCCGGCTCCCGGGGTCGTAGGTCGGGTCAGCCCGCGGTAGTAGTAGTGTAGCCAACGATATCGGCATGTTATTTATATGCATGTTTACATATTATCGAGTTATCAAAAATGTATCGTTAGAAAAATATGACTAATCAAGCTGCTTCTATGCAAAATAGTGTTGATCATTTCCTTCGGTTACGTGTTTTGGACTGTCAGAATAGTACTTCTTCGTAGACTTAAACATGTATCCAACTTTTTCACTATGACAACGGTGACACGTTTGTACTTAGGGTAATATGGGCGGGGCAGTTTACGCCCCGCCCGTTTCGACGTTTGTGACGTGTCGTAAGGAGCTGCCTACCTTTTAGATAAGAATATATTGGAGAGATGACTTTTATACGAATGTTAAGTAATCTGTTGAATGCTAACTTTACAATTAAGGACTTCCGATTTAACCATATCATGGTTTTTTATATTTTTTATTCGGTCGCGGAGTGTGCTGGAATTTTAATTCGGTTGTATTATTCCTTTTTAATTGGCAACACTTTGAAATTTCGGTCAACTCGCGACGTTTTGATTAATATTATATCATTAATTTGGCTAATATAGTATTTAAGAAAAAAAGCACAATCTATGTTATTTTAACGAAGAAAGTAATTAAATTTACACTAATATATTGTTAATAATTTTATTCTATTTGTTTGTAGGATGAATAGTTTTGTTTCAAAATCGATTATTTTAAATATTGGCAACTTAAAATATCTACTTCCGCATTTATTTGTATATTTTACTGTGTTTATAATGTTTTAGAAGTTAATAAAATCCAAATAAACATTCAAGCATAGTATGAATTGGTTTCATTTAAAAGCACCTATTAAATATTAAAGAAAATTAATATTATCAAAACACACACATTTCACACAAAAGTTATGCTAAAGTTTTAGAATAAAAATCAATTGTAATTAATTTCAGGTTTATTAACATTAATAATTAGTAATTAAATTGCTAACAATGCAGCCATGTTCAGAGAAGGCACATAATATAATTTTGAACACAGCTCATTTTATATAGTTGTCACATTCAGTCCTCTTGGCTACAAACAACATAACTTACTCTTATCACAAATATTATATCAATGCATACCTAATATATAATTTTATTGGTAAATGCAAAGCAACTTTATGCTTCAAGATATTATACTTAAATATTCTAAAGATATATAATATAATATGGCTCCGTCCCAAGATGATCACCTTCTCCGAAATTAAGTCAGTTCCTTTCATCTCATTTGAATGAAAAGGAATGAGAAAATGTAAATTTAGTACCATATTTTTTCCTGGCAATGTATAGACACGGGTGAAACTTTAGTTTCCCCTTATCATGTATCTATTTGACACAATAAAATTAATATTTCCAAAAATAGTAATGCCTGAAATAGTCATTATTAAATATTTTCTTAGACCACTGAACCATAACAATGCACCGACTTAATTTTGAAGATAGGATGTATCTAGAAAAGAGCCCATAGACAAGACAATATAAGAACAACATTTTCTAAATGAAAGTATGTTCATTTTTAAACAGCCTAAAATGTAAGCAACCCAAAACATAGTGTATTCGCCTTGATAATATTTTTTATGCATAACAAGGCAGTTATTTGACCACAATTGCACCTGATGTTAAGTGGGATGGAGTATTATTGTAGTATATGTATTAGTAGGATTATTGCAGTGTCCATTAAAAAATACACACAAATAATCATAATCTAACATCATTAGATGAAGCCTATGAAGGTTATTAATTAAATATGTAGAATTAGATAATGTTATCACATTAGATTAAGTCTTGCCTATAAAGATAGTGCAAATGATGTTGAAATAAAAAATAATTGAGCATAGATATGCAGACTTGCTTAAAGTGTCAATTTAAGTAAGATTTATCAATATTTTTGAGATGTTATGACAATTCTTTGACTAAACCTCTTCCCAGAAAGTGATAAAGAGATCAGGTAGACTGCTTCGACAAATATTGAAAAAAAGAAGGCCACTGATTTGAAATCAGGCAAACTATACTTAAAAAAAACCTACCTTCTCAAGAATTACAAATAAATATTAATATGTAATATTGTTTGCTTACATTTATTTTTAAAAATGAACATACTTTCCATCGATATTCACCTGGCAATAGTTGACACACATATTTGTTAATAATTTTGAGCAACATGTTACAAGGTGAAATATAGTCTACATCATATAAGGTCAACGTGTACAATTTGCAATAAACACATTTTCAGGAACGAGCTTTTGGCACAGAAACGTTGACTAAACATAACAAGAACTAAATGCATTTTACTAAGATGTTATATGCAAATTATACAAGCCACAAATGGTAATATTCTATTCTTCTATACCCTTTAGTTATAATAAAATAATACATCCTATCAACTGCAAAATACCACATACATACAATTGACTAGACATAGGTCTCAGCAGTAATGTTATCTGAAATGAGAATCCTATTACATCTCCAAAAAGTTCAATGAAAATCCACCCAAATCATTTAAAGAGACTACAGAAAGAAAGGGGTTTACTTTCTAAAAAGCTAAATCATTAATTGAGCATATTAAAAAATCTATCTCTGCTCTCAATAGCCAATAACTATATTTCAAAGCTGGTACCAATATGTTTTTTTTTATCTATAGATAGGATCCTATGTTATCAATTGTATGTATGTCGTGTTCCTTGAATGTAACTGAAATGATAGATAAAAAATTAAGAAAAAATATTAAAATTCTATACTACTGTTGCAATGGTAAAAGACTAACGGCCGGTTCACACATGTCTCCGTTTTACTGTTCCGTTTTATCGTGTATGTTTTTTTTCGTCGATGGAGTATGAGCGACTTCACACATGACACAGTATTCTGTATACAGTAATACATACATCGACAAAAAAAAACGTACACAATAAAACGGAACAGTAAAATGGAGACATGTGTGAACCGGCCGTAAGCCTGATACTCTATTTTAATTCAGGTTATTTTCGAACAATGTCCGAAACTTGCGGATACATAAATATTATCTCAGATATTCTAATAATAACATTTTCTACATCATTTGAAATCAAACTTGAACTGCAGAATTAGCTTTCATATCCAAACCGTTAACAGGAGCGATGTCAGACCGTGGCCTTCGGAAGAGCAGCACGTGGGGCTCCGGATTGTGCACCATGAAGTGTAGCCAACCAGGGCTCTGCTGGACGCCCAGATTCCGCCACTCTGTCTCCGTCATAAGATGGGACTTGGGCACTAAGCGCGCTATGTCCGGTGGCAGGATAACATGCCTGAAAATTAGAAAAAGACAGAAGATAGTGAGTTTTGAATACGAAAAATATTCAAGAAGTTGTGTAAAGGTCTAAACATTTTGTACTATGAAAAATTAAAAGGTCATTTGTTACAATAACCAACTCTTTATACTATCTGAAAACTTGGAGTGAGAGTTACAACACTGAAAGAATTTTAATTTTATTAATAAAGGTAACATTAAAAGTGCAGCAACTGTGTCAACCTGAATCCCACTGACTGTAAAAAATCTGTCGACCAGACTAAACCACGGAGCACATACTCACTTCTACGTGTTATTTAGAAAAGTAGAAGAAAGTAATAAATGTGTAAATGTGATGAAACTTACCTGTACTCATAGACATCGTCTGTGTATCTTTCAGAGTACTGAATTTGATCCACTGGCATTTTATATCACAAAATAACTGTCCACAGCACTTTTCACTCTTTAAATGGTATTTTATGGCTTAAATCGCCAATTTTATTTAAAAAATATTAACGCTTCGTGTCCAACCGCAAAGCAATTTTTTCGGGAAATAATGACAAGACAAGTATGACAACAACTGTCAACGTCATCTGCCAAATAGCGTAACCCGCGCCTTTTATTTTAACGTCGCCATACTAAAGTCACAGCATCACAAATTACGAGGATAAAACGCAATATATAAAATAAAATTGTTTTGAAGTACAAAATCAGAGCCCCGATTACGGTATTTTTTACCGTCAACAATCCAGACACGCTTCTCGATTCTGCGATACGATTGGTCGTTCAACAGCGTACGTCAGCTGTTTTGACCAATCGTATCGCAGAATCAGAAACGCGTCTGGATTGTAGACGTTATAAAAGTTACCGTAATCGGGGCTCTGTTTTTCATTTTGATGATTTGTAGCGTAAAGCTTAGGTTCAAAGTTTTTATTATACCTTGATTTTTCACGTTCGACATCTGAACGAACCAGAGAGCAGAAATAACAGGAGTAGCAGCGCGCGTTTATTTCCATACAAAAAAATTTCGCCATTTCCTGAGGGGGACGAGGTAATGACATTTGTGTAACAGCTGATGGCGCTGAGACACTATCGATATTTTTGTCGATGAGAATCATTGCTCTATGGTTCATAGTCTATGGCTCGTTTAAAAAAATGATATGAATTAATTTATTATCCTATGGGAGATTCAANATAATTTAATTTACACGTGTTTTCATGCGATGGCCAAGTCAATATATGTAGAAATTTTGTTTTTTTTTAAATGCCTATTATTTTGACAAAATGCCACATAGATTTTTTTTTATATTTTTTTCATTAAAATTCAAATTCAAATTCATTTATTCACAGAAATACACGTCCATTAGATGTTTGTAAATAATCACTTTTCTTTCTTTTCTTTTTCTGATAACCAGCATAACTTGCCTCAACACCCAGTTCCGGCTTGACGTTGCATTACGGGACACCCTGTATACAGGACCTTTGTTTTCGAAAACCTACTGTTTTATCAGACAACCAACAATTTTTCTCTATAAACCACTCGAGCCTCCTGTTTTTAACCCATTTTATACTACCGTCGTTTAAAAACAACACATAGAAACAAAAAATTTTGGAGAATATGTAGGTACTTTTGTTTTTATTTATTTATGTTACTTGACAGGTGAAGGCTTTGTCGACTTAGTCTATGTGGCAAATCTTAATAATTCATTAGGTTTTCCATAATATTTACAAGTTTATTTAGCCATTTTCAACGATGAGTTTTAAAGACAAGTAATAATAATAAGTTGCACACTTTATTATAAAACGTGATGTTAGTATCATAAACTACATATAAACATCAAATCACACTGATTCAGAACCTTTGGTAAGAAGTTATAACGAAAAATAACTGGTGTTGTTTATAAACGCCAGCAGTAAAATGTACTACTTTATCTTTCAAGACATTATTATTTTATTTTTTACTGTAGGACACATTATCAGGCTCTGGAGCTTCATGATTTCGTCGAGGAGCTAGAAAATGATAATTTTCCAGTACTAGATTGTCTGATGATTATTGATACAGTAGTTAATACATAGATACCTATAAATAATAACAACACAACTAGAATAAAAACAATTACTGAGCAGTGGCTCAGTGGTCCAGTGGCCCCAATAGGATTATTCCACTATGTTCACCTCGGTGATATCACCTGGGTGAAGAAAGTGTTATTTTTCGTGTCCTCATTTCACCTCAGAACCATTTCACCCAGATGATAATTATCCATAATAATATGACTTGATTTGACTAAAGCAGTCGCTTTTGTTCATCTATTTTTAGGGATGAATTCACCCAGGTTTTCGCATTTGTTTACCAGGGTGAATTAATTTCTAGGTGAACAAAGGTTCTAGGTGATCGTTTTAGTCGACGCAATCCACCTGTAAAATGAAGCTAGGTGAAATGGTTCCGAGGTGAGATGAGAACACTAAAAAGACAAATAAATATTTCTATTCTGCCGTCTATAAGCTAAAAGGCCGCTAAATGACAAAATCTAATTTTGAGCTAGAGCAGAAAAAAGCGGCAAAATTTTCAAACCGATGCTGCTCAGTATCTATAAACATTTTGTCATGTTGTCATATACCAAAAAAAAGGTATTTTTTTCAACTTTCACATGAAGTAAGTTGATTTTGTAAAATATTAATAAGTAATTCAATAAATACACATTTTCCTTTCTAACCTGGTAAAATTTTAAGGCTTGCTTCAAGTGTGCCAGAACTAAATGGCGGCTAAAGAATCATANTTAAACGAATGCGCATAAATCAATGATCCAGACATCTTGCCGGTCTAGATCTATAACAGCTTAATTTACACCGTCCTACTTTACAAAACAAACCAGTTTACGAATGTTTTTAACGACTTTAATAAAGATAAACAAAGCGCACTTATGTAAACCTATTCGTTATTCTTAGCCCATTGACATAAGAGACACTTGGTTAAACATAAGCACCATCCAGTATAAGACGAACCTCGACACCCAAGTTTTGCTTCAAAGAATGAACACACGACGGCTCTAGACTTTCTGGTGTTTGGAAAACCAATACAGCTAGAGCTTGAACTCTTCTTGTAGATGTGAGGAGATCAGGTCAAGATATAGTGGCCAGTCTTAAGGCCATACTGCACAGTTATCTCATGGGATGACGAAACCAAGTGAGAGTAAACTTGTTGCATAAAGCTCCTAGAACACGTGCCGAGATTTTTTATCGGGTGGTGATAAAAAGCCTTGTTTGGGTTCTGAAAAGTAATGAAGAGAGAATAAACGTCTGTGTACCATAAAAAAAAGATACTTAAGTGACTTGCAGCTTGTGAATCTGACGCCCGTTTTCACAAACGATGCTTGCTTAAGTGAAGCAGCAAATCGAACTCACAGCGTTGAATAAAGCTCTGTGACTGGATCGTGTGTCATCCTGTGCATCCACGCGCACTGTGACACCTCAAAGTAATGTTTGTGAATACGGGCGTCGACGATCTGGTAAAGGTCGCGGGAAGAGCCTGGATACGGGCAGCGCAGGACCGTTCATTATGGAAAACCTTGGGGGAGGCCTTTGTCCAGCAGTGGACGTCATTTGGCTAAAACGAACGAACGAACGAACGGGCGTGAGTCCGTTACATTTAAAGTATCCCACTCTTTTAGTGTCCAGCTGTGGACATCATTTGGAAGAAATGAACGAATGACGTCTCATCTGGCTTATGTTGCTTATTTACTTAGATTGGTTTTGCGGTGCTTTCAAATGCAAAAACAAAAAAGAAACTGTAAGCGAACTTTTCGATTAAGGGAAAACTCATTTTCAATGATGATGTAGAATCGACCGAGGAAAAACCTCGGACAACATCGTATGAAATTAGCTTCGCTGTTACCCAAATGCACCACTGACTTATTTGTTAGATTGACATAGCATTTTAAAGATAGTACATACTATGTGCGAGTAGTGTACATAGGCAACCTGTATGGAATACTCATTATTAACTATACTATTCTATTATGATAAATGGTTGTAAACTTTCAAATAACATTGTGTTGTTGTAACATTTGATCATTAAGTCAATGGTGTACGATATGGTTTTATTACAGTGCTAATAGCACTTTCTAAAGGTCATTTAAGAAAGCGACAATTGAGAGCAAATTAGGGACAAATTGTTAGAATAATCTTTCATCATTTGTTACCCAGATAAACTTTTGCCCAATGTTTGCTTTGAATACCTTAGTAAGTTACAAAATTAAGGCTTTAACTAGAAGGAACTCTCTCTATAATCAGAATCTTCAAGGCTTTTAGCCAAAGTCACTGTAAAAGTTCAAGTTTTTTAACTTCAACTCATTTATTAAACCACTTTTTCCACCAACAGGTGGCGTACGCCATCGCGTTGATATATGAGATCGTCTGGCTGGTGGAGTCGCAGAGCGGGCTGCCTGTACCATCGGTGCTGCTCATGGTGTGCTACTGCATCGTCATCGCCGCCACCGTCACGCTGGTCCATGGACTTATATCAGTAAGCCATTTTGTACCTTCACACAACCTGCCTGCCCTATTGTACTGTAGGTAGGGTACAATTGGGCAGGAGATAGAAGCAGAACTGACGGCTGATGAAGCATCTTGGAATGGAGGCCACGTACCGGCAAAAGCAGCGAAATGATGATGAGAATAGGACATTGATCCACTCGTATGTGCGTGGCTGTCTCTTTACAAGCTACATAAATAGCGGGCACGTAGTACACGTACGTAATTGAATTTTGTCACAGTAATGCCTTTTGCTCCTTGAGAAACTTTAATTTTGATTTCGTAATTACTTAAGTTTGTAATAACTATTTTATTGTTTTTTTCTTTTTCAGAAAAATAACATATACCTGTTAGCATGGTTGATAGCTGTAATATTGGTGTTGATCCCGGAGTGCGCTCTAGTCTTTTACATGTCCATTAGTCATTGGGTAAGTTTATTTCATGACATTATCATACTTATACACATATTATTGTTATTTAATGCCTCTTTTCAACATAAGTAGGTATGAGCAGCTTCGCGTATTTAGCCTACTTATTTGCTAAAATGGTAGGTAATTCAATCGTATTAAATGCATGGCGAAGATTGATGAGATGATCAGTCCTAAGATGGAAGTTTCACCCTTCCTCAACCACTGAACTGCCTGGCTATATCTTACTTCCAGTCCAGCCACCTGCCAAACCAAAACACATCAATTCTGTTAAATTTAGATGAGAATGAAAGTTTAACAAGTCGTACCATCAACAAAGGCAGAAATGATACCACTGGAAATAGAACCTAGTATCTCTAGCTAGAGATACTCAGCTGAGTCTCAGATGGGTGGTCTTTCCACTAATTACAGAAGTAGTTCAAGAGAGAGTGTGACCATGACGTTCAGAAACTAAGACGTACTGAGCAGGACTTTGATCATTCGCTTCCAGCTGTTTCTGCAAGTGGTGCACGAAAAACTTAATAAAAAACTTAGTCATCGGATTTTGAACCTTATGTCTTCGCTTCCAGGGTCTACAAGGGGTGTACGGCGGCGCGGAGCTGGCGTGCTACGTGGCGCGGCTGCCGGCCATCGTAGTTGGTGTCGTGCTGGTGCAGTCTGCGTACGCGCTGAGAGAGGCCAGGTGAGATGCCATATTAGACTCTACTATAGAAACTTTAAGGTCCATACTGCAAAGTGCAAGGATACAAGCGGTGAGAGGCCAGGTGAGATGCCATATTGGACTCTACTGTAGAAGCTTTAAGGTCTATTACTGGAAAGTGCAAGGTCTGTAAGGGATATAAGCGCTGAGAAGCCAGGTAAGATGCCATAATGGACTCAACTCTAAAACGTTTAAGGTCCGTATTGCAAAGAGCAGGGTCTGCAAGGTTTACGGTGGCAGAATTGTGAAACCCATAGATCCTTTCAGTACAGCAGAATGTGAAAATTTATGAAAGAAACTGCAAAACGACCTCCTCTATTCCAGTCTTCTATTCATTCTATTCCCTCGGACTTCTTTAGTTATCAAAAGTCCACAATTCTTATCTTTTTATCCCGAGACCTGTTTAAACAAAATGGTAAAAACACTAACAACATACAACTCGCCGGAATGCGACTCTTCCTCCATCCCACTTAGCCGCACCGCACACCAGGGTTGCCAACTCTACGTATTTTTACGTAGATCTACGTATTTTAAGCCTTCCTTGCAAACCTACGAACTTCAGTCCCAGAATCTACGTATTTTCTATTAAATTTGCAAAATAGCCTGAATGGGCATCATTTCCTTTACTTTCGCGAAAAAGTTAATAAACGTTCCATTTCATACTAACGCACACCACTCACCTCGCTATAGTTCCAAAATACTGGACTGTCCTGTCGATGACATTGACAGTGGGGCGCCACCGTCAATACCGAATCCCTGGTTCAGATTTTTGCCATGTTGCAAACCATATAGTTGAACGATAGTAGCGCCCCCCTGTCATTGAGTTTGGTGGGACAGTTCAGCGTGGGTCATCTATACTCTCAACACATCGCGCCAAGCAGATGACTCATGTCACATGGGTTATGTCTGATCACGGATAATTGGCATGTGGCAAAAGTGGAAACTAATGTTATTTTAACATTTCCCCATTAAAAAAATGCTGTGAGAGCCTGTTTGAAAACATTTCTGAAAATGATACACAATAAAAGTATACTTTACTACTTAGGGTAATAAAAATTGACATTTTACTACTTTTACCTACCCCTATACTCTCTTCATTTCATTCAGAAAAAAAAGTACGTAGATCTACGTATTTTCTATAAGGAAATTGTACCATTTCTACGTAATTTTCTAATCTGTCCTACGACTTTTTCAAAATCCGAGTTGGCAACACTGCCGCACACCTCCCCGCGTTCGCCCCGTCCGTACCAGAGCTTCGACGTGACGTCACGGCTGCCAGGTGCGCAGTTAACTCTATGGACTCTACAACCTTTTCTTTGACAAGCTCGTAACTCGTAAACATTGAGCTCCGCTAAATTATTCAGTTTAAGTAAGAAATAAACTTTAAGTTCGGACCTAAAACAGCATTATAATAAAGTATAAGTGTTATATCAAGTGTTAAACTAATCAAATTACGCAAAATGTGAAGAACGAGCAGCAAAATAGTGTTTTAAAAATTGTGGTGATTCATGTGTCGTCAGTTACCGACCGCTCGACATTACGAATCGACCAAACTAGCTGCAGGTAAAACTCACGGTTACGCGCAGCGCATTAAAGCGAAAGTCGCGCGCATACACAACTACTCGTCATCACTACGTCGCCGCGCATGCGCTGTTTTACTCGCCATAGAATATGAACTACAGAAGTGCCGTTGTATGGATATGTCGCTGAGAGACAAAAATAGTAAGTTTGAAAAAAGGACGTGATTATTTTATTTTGTATACATCTCATCATACTCGTAGAATTTATATATTAAGATAATAAAAATTTTTTTGAAGAGGAATATTTATCATACTTGAAAATGGCATCAAACACAGCTTGCAAACCTGCTAAAAATACTAAAGCACCAAAACAGGTTTTAGTATTCTGTAATAAATGCAAACGGAAAGTAAACCAAAAGGAAACTATATTATGTAGCTCGTGTAATGAAAGGTATGAATTTGACTGTGGAGGAACATCTGAAAAACTATACTTGCTAATGAGAGAAGAAAGACGAAAAAAATGGAAATGTAATTTATGCATTGGTAATAAGAAAAAATGCAAAAGCCCAAATGTACTGAATAAACTTTCGTCGCAAAAAGAGGCTGAGGTTAATAAACCGGAAATTCCGATATCGCCTGCAAATTTTAGTATATCGGAAGTATTAAACTCAACTCCACAAAATACTGATGATGATGATCCGAGTCAAACAAGTATCATAAATATTGCTACGCATAATACGTTCCAGTCTCTGTCCGAGCTATCTGATTCAGATGAAGGAGATACAATTAATTCAATAACAGACAAACACAATAGAAGCTGTCCGGAAACAAAAATTAATTACAAACAAAAATTGGAAGAAATGGAAACAATAAACAAAATGTTGCACAATAAATTGCAAAGTGCAGACAAACAAATAGATGAACTAATAATGGAAAATTCAGTACTCAAGAAACAAATTTCTGAATATAAATCTACTATATCTAATTTGAAACAAATATGTAATTCAACCTTAACACCAAGAACGAGTTCAGCAAAAAAGAAACAGAGAAGAGACGGAGGAACTGAGAAGAAACAGACTTCTCAAGATAACACTCAAAACAGTACAACAATGAAACATCCACGATTGGACGATTATAAATATAAAAACACAAGTAATGTTGACAAATTTCAGAAGCCTAACGTCTCTGATAAGAAAAATGGTATGACAATTCCCAACAAAATAAGTATAATTAGTAATAATGCTCACAATAAAATATTAAAAGTCGCACGAAGAACACTAAGTTGTACCGAGATCTGCCACTACAAGAAATCGGGAGCTGGAATACAGCAACTCCTTAGCGGACTAGATACCATGTTGAATGATTTTACTTTGAGTGACTATTGTATTTTAATAATAGGAGATAGAGATTTCACTGAAACTGACAATTATCACAATATTATATCTGATATGAGACTAACCCTAGGAAAACTAAAACACACTAACATAATTGTTTGCTTGCCTACATATAAATATTGTAAATATATGAATCTTTTTAATAAGCGCGTAGAAATATTTAACAATCTGTTGTTTTCCGATAACACTTACCATGAATATGCCTACATATTAGATTCAAATAAGCATATTCCATATAAACAAGAAATGTTCGTTAATATAGATGGATCTTTAAAAGATCGTGGCTATGATATAATTTTTTCGGATTTAGTTGAATTAATTACTCTTTTATCGGAGCACAACGGATTATATGACTATGTACAAGACGAAGTTCAAGTCATAAGCCCATGCGCTGGAAACTCTGTCGACCAACAAAAATTTTTTCGAGACTAAGTCACCATCTTCACAAATCAGACTGATCCACCAGAATATTGCTGGATTCATTTCTAAGAGAGATTTGTTAGAAATTAGTATATCGGAATTAAACGCGAGTGGGAAGAAACCAGACATAATTTGCCTGTCTGAGACCTTTATTAGACTTGGTAGTGAATGTTCTATTAAACTAGCAGGATACAATGTCGGGGCTATCTACTGCAGAAAAAACAAAAAAAATCGTGGTGGAGTATGTATATTACTAAAAAAAGGGATTAAGTTTCAGGAATTAGTCGATATTAAAGTCTATACAGAAGATAAACAATTTGAATGTTGTGGTGTTAAATTAATTGGATTTGGATACAGTATATTTATATTATGTGTCTATAGAACTCCTGACTCAGATGTAAATATTTTTTTATCAAATCTAGAAATAGTACTACATAAATACATGAAAAGTAGTAAATCTCGCATAATATTGGCTGGCGATTTGAATATAAATACGCTTGTGCTATCACCTAGCTGTAAATATCTTAATGACATAGTAAACAATTTTAATCTTCAAATTCATATAACAGAGCCTACTAGAAAAAAAACCTGCATTGACCATATAATTAGTAATATTGACGAAGCATGCGCTGAACTACATCACCTCCACCTGTCCGACCATAACACTGCACAGATGTTACATATACCAGTAAATAAAAATTATGAAAATCCTATTCAATATTTTGTAAATATGAAAGACTATTGTAATGACAATTTAAACAAATTTAAAACACACTTGCGTTCTTTATCCTTCTCCGAAATATTAAATGAATCCGATGTTGATAAAGCTATGCATTCATTTCATAGTCTTTTTACAACAGTATATGACTTATGCTTTCCCAACAAAAAAATAAAACTATCAAATCAATATAAAAACGCACCTTGGATTACAAAAGGGCTAGCTAAAAGTTGTAAAACTAAAAGAAGGCTTAGATATGAATATTATTTAACAAAAACCACTCGGAAAAAGCATCAATATAGATCATACTCCAAGCTACTACGCCAGTGTTGTAAGCTATCACAAAAAATACAAAATTCAAAATTAATTGCTAAGGCTAAAAATAAGTGTCTAACTACGTGGAAAATAATAAAAAACGAAACACAAAACATAGATAACAATAGGTTTATAGATGAATTGAACGTAAATGGCAAAATAATTACGGATCCAATAAATATCGCAAATGAATTTAATAACTATCTTATAAATTTAACAAATATAACGGACAATAATAAACCGAAAACAAATACCAATAAAATTTGTTTACCAAATAGCATTTTTCTGGAACCATTTTGTCCAGATGAAATGAAAACTATTATTAGATCATTAAATAACACGAATGCAACAGGATATGATGGTATCTGTACAAAAGTAATAAAATCTTGTGCCGAAGAGCTAATCATACCTCTTACACATTTGGTAAATTTGTCGTTTAGTAAGGGTGTCTTTCCTGAGTTGCTAAAACTTTCAATAGTCAAGCCCCTTTACAAGAAAGGCAAAAAATCATCAGTTGAGAACTATCGCCCTATTACCCTAGTACCTGTATTATCCAAAGTTTTCGAAAAGGCCATGAAAAAAAGATTATTAAGCTTCATCATGCGTTTTGAATTATTCAAAAGAGAACAGTTTGGGTTTCAACATAATAAATCCACAACGTTAGCAATGTACCACCTTATAAATGAAATAAGTGAAAATATAAACTCTGGAATACCTGCTACTGTTGTATTTTTTGATATGACTCGTGCCTTCGATTTCGTTTCTCATGAGATACTGCTTGTAAAACTAGAAAATCTAGGAATAAGAGGATTAGCTCATGACTGGTTAGCATCTTACTTGAGAAATAGGAAACAAGCAGTTGAAATAACAAGTTTAGACAATAAAAAATGTATGACTTTGAATAAATCTAAATTTTTAACGAATGCATGTGGGGTTCCTCAAGGAAGTGTTTTAGGGCCAATATTATTTCTACTTTATATAAATGACCTTCCAGAGGTAACTACTCACAAATGTGTATTATTTGCCGATGACATATCCGTAATTATTCCCAGTAGTAAAAATATAAGAAAAAATGAAGAGGACATAAACAATACAATAAACAAAATAATAAATTGGTTAAAGAATAATAATTTGACAGTTAATTTAAATAAAACAAAATTCATTCAATTTGGCACACATCGACAAAGAAAATATAAACTTGACATTAATTATGAAGGGACTATTATTGAACAAACCAATAATACAAAATTCCTAGGAATAGAGTTAGATGAAAACTGTACCTGGAAAATTCAGATAGAAAATCTACGGGACAAACTGAATCGTTACGTATTTGTGCTGAATAGACTGAGTCAAATTTCTGCAATAGAAACATCCCTGGCGGCATATCACGCGTATGTAGCATCTCTGCTTAAATATGGACTTCTGATTTGGGGAAATTCAACTGACTTAGTTTTATTGTTTAGAGCACAAAAAAAATGTGTAAGGGCTATTTGTGGCAAATCACCTCGTCAGTCTTGTAAGCCATTATTTCAGCAATTCAAAATATTACCTCTTCCGTGCATGTACATATTGGAAGTTGCATGTTTCGTAAAAAATAATGGTAATCTGTTTAGAAAACGACTTGAAGTCAATAATCGAAACCTAAGACATGCAGAAAAACTAGTCTTTAATAGTGCACCTAAACTGACATTCTATATGAAACAATGTAATGCTATGTGTGTAAAAATTTTCAATGCCATACCTGATGACTTAAAGATATTACCGAATAAATTGTTCAAACGTAAACTTATGATGTGGCTGCTTGAGAAAAATTTTTACAAAATAAATGACATTTTTAAGAAACATTAATTGATTATGCAATTCTAGATTTGTGATTGTTACACTATTGACATTTATTATTGTACAAAATTCTAATATTACTTAATTTATCTGACATTTGATATTGATTGAATTAATTTGTCTATGACATGTTTAAATGGATTGTTGTTTTGAAAAGTGCTGTTATTACTCGTACATAGTTTTTGCATGCCATAATATTGGTAAAATGTGAGTACTATAAATTATATTTTGTAATAATTGTAACACCTATGACAACCACATTTTAAGCAAATAAATTTTATTATTATTATTTCTTTATTCAATTTTCTTTCTTATTTTTAATTTTTTCTTTTTACAATGTACCTAATTATCAAAAAATAAAAATACATTATTATTATTATTATTATTATTATTATAACCCGGTCGGTTGTAGAGCCCATACATTTCCTAATCGTGAAATTTTATTGGTATTTTCAGGAAAGCCGGCTACAGTAACGGGGCCGCGGTGAGCGGCAGCGAGTTCGACGCGAGTCACTTCGTGCCCGACACCGGGAATGCGTTCACAAACGACGGGTTCATGCCCGACACTGGTAAGTCACATACTTTAGATATAATGTCTGTTGGAGTTTTATAATTTTGACACTAGGGGAAAGTTTTACCAAATGTAACGAAAGAGTAATGGTAGCAGCTCAATACTCAATACTTTGAGAATTTGGCAGAATAAGTCCCTGTCCATCGTTTCCGCCATATCTAACGGATCCTTCTTACAAACTTTGTCGGTTGTTATTAGGTAAAGGGTACTGCAAACCAGATCATTTTGTGAATCATCCACCCTGCAAAGCAATACCCTCAACTCATACACACTTTACAAATTAGTCGAAGTCTTATTAGCATTACTTACTTACTTGAGTTACATAAAAATAAACGACCTAAATTCTAAGTCCTTTTTCCAGACCTTTGTTTGCTGTTGGGTGAAAGGCATCTACATTGAACCCTATTCCCATTTACGTAGGAAAAACTTTCCCTCACGTAATCTCGGTCACAAACTGACAGTCGTTAACCGCGTTAGAGCCCGACAATTTGCCAACAGATGTAATTTTGGTATCGACCTCCCGCGCCTGGGAAAATACTACAAGTGCCTTTTATTGTTAGCGCGGAAACTCTGTTGACATTGTTGTAAGCTGCCTGACTAGTGTGAAAATAATTTTGCAAAAAGGCGTCTTTAACCTATTTGTGATTACTTCCTAAATGTATATTAGATACTCGTTAAACTGATGTTGGATGGTAGATAAAAAGAGATCTTTCTTGTTTGTGGTGCACCAAACAAAGGATGGTACATGAGGCTATGGCGTTGGAACTGTCCTTTCAAAGGGGTTGCTTGAATGCATGTCATGACACCATGTCATGAGACTCATCGTAGGAATTTATAGATTCGATACGGTGTATAGGAAGTTACCCTGTAGGATACGGGCGATTTTGTACAATCGACAGCACATTTATGTTGCAAAATAGCATAATAATACAAACATAATATTATAAACTAAGATGCCGCAATATTCAGCTTTGAGTGATCTTCTAAGTCGTTGACACTCTTGAAAGAGAGGTATGCGTTTTGTTTTAGGCGGATGTTGTTCGCTCTATGATATCTCTCTATCTTTTCCTCTTGGTGGTCAACTCGGTGCACTCGTTCAAGATACCACTGAATCGGTTACACAGGCACAGGACAGACAGCTTTATCGGGCCGTTCTAAATAAATATTGTCTCTTGTTTCCAGGCAAGTCGGGATCGATGCCGGATCTGCGGCGGCACCTAGCCAGCCGGCAGTCCATGAGCTACGCGCCGCCACCCGCCTACTGGCAGCACCTCGCTGAGCGGCATTATGCCGCTACCATGCGTGGCCCGCCTAAGGGCTACGCGATGCCTCAGGTAGGGCCTTTCATTCTTCAATGTTATTTTTGCGGGTGTCACTATGCTAAATTATGTCATGTCATCCATATGCAGTTCATAATTGCCGGAATCATTACGCCACCACCATACGCGGCCCGCCCAAGGGCTACGCGATGCCTCAGGTACTTAGCGCTTCATTCATTCTTCGATACCTTTAGTGGCATGGGTTAACTAGTCCAAAATATGCCATTAAGCAGTGCCATAGATGGTATATGAACCGGCGGCACCTAGGCTGGCTACGCGCCGCCACTGCCTACTGGCAGCACGTTGCCAAGCGGCATTACGCCGCCACCATGTGCGGCCCGCCCAAGGGCTATGCGATGCCTCAGCTAGCAGTTTTGACTCTTGGATACCTTTAGTGGCACGGGTGGTTAGGCTAATCTTTATGTGGGAGGTCTAGGGGTAGGGGTAATGATTCTGACCTTTCTGTCAAAAAAATTTGAATCCGCGATTCGCTCTTTGGTAACGGAGTGGAGTTTCCCTAGTAAGAGAAAAGGTTTAAGTCTGATATGGGACGTTCTAACGAGAAAGCCAGAGTTTTCAAAATGCCCCCGCGCAGGTTAATAGGTTCTATGTCTTAATTGTATTCCGTCCATATGGGCAATGGGAGGTGTATGCCCTGAAAAGGGCCTACATTTGAATTTGAAGACCACTGATGTACGTAGGTATAAGGTATACCAATTTAAAGCATTACCTCCGATCATCACCTTTCTTTTTCTATTCACTATATTTTTTACTCATTTAGTTATTTTCTTATCAGCAGGCTTACGGCACCTGGGTGGGACCCCGCGCGGGCCCGTATGACAATCCCTACAAGCGGCGGCACTCCGTCGTAGGAGCCTTCGACGAGTACCCAGCCGCCGAGTTCGATGACCGCGTCGACTGCAAGAGCGAGATGGCGTACCCGTACTACCGGCCGTACCCTTACCAGGTGTACCCGCCGGAGTATGACCCCAGGTGAGGAAATAACGGAAAAGCTTTAATGGTATGATTTACTTGAAGGTCCTCTCAACAGTAGGTGAAGGTAGAGCAAGGTGTGGTACTACTGGCCGTCCTCTTACCAGGTGTCCCTATCCACCGGAATATGACTCCATGTGAGGAAAGGAAGAAATGACTTCGACGGTATGATTAAGGCCGTCAGTACCGTGGAATAAGGAGTTTAAAGATGTAGGTATGAAGGCTAAGCGAGATGGCGTACCCGTACGGTGTACCTGCTATAGGCGCACCTAGGCCCCAAACCATCCCCCGGACACGGCCTGAGCCGAGGTCCGATTCGAGCCTACCTTGGCGCCCTCAGGCCGCGTCCGTAGTCCCCTCGATCGGGCCCACTAAAGTGAGCCCGCCGTAGGCTGGACTTTGGTCCAACACCGCGGTGGGCAACCCTCTAGTTGGGTTCGCCACTGATCGGGCATCTTATGCGCTCGATACGGCCTGATCGCGAACGTCGGCACGCGCACCGATGATCGCTAAACGGCTAGAGTACTTACCTTCTGTACTCGCCACCACTCTGCCCGGTAAAGCTGGAAAAGCTACTCAAGATAGCAGCGCGCGTCCCTTAAAAAAAAGCGCACCTAGGACAATAGGAAACCCTGCATTCACAGTCGATTCAAGCACAATTTCTCCCTGGAAGTACCTACTCTATCAATTGGGGCAAATCCGCCCGTTGTAAGTAAATATTTGCTCAAAAGGATACGTATTACGTTAGACTAGTGGGTAGATACACCTATACATAATTTAATAATATGCTATCGAGTACTCATTAACTTTGTATTTCATTACAGATTCTACCCAGAGTTCAAGAGGGAAGAGGCCGCATACGGAGTGAACCTGCTAAGACACGAGCCCTACAGGTTTAGTGGCTCCAGAGAGCGCGTCTACTACGGCATGAGGAACAGTCACACGTCAGTCGGGAACGAATCAGATGACTTGACCAAGTATAAAGACGTGGCGCTATGAGTATTACGTAAGTTAGGGACGCGATAAACTGTGTAAAAAGCTATTCGATTCATTAGTTAGCGATGCAGTTACAAAATATGGGAATGTACAAGGTTTTTTGAAGTGTGAAGGTCAACCGAAATAGTCTCTGTGAGATATGAGCTATGGGGTACTGCTGGTACGAAGTGCTGGACGTTTCCATCCAGTTAAACTAAGCCAACTTTCGTTTTTTTTCTCTCATTTTATGTACCTACCATTTTCTATACCACCTATTTTCTGTTGTAAAAATTTGTCATATGAAAAAATTTTTCAGATGTAAGTACCTAGTAAAATAGCTTCAATGGATAGTCTAGCAAAACAATCTCAAGCACATTTTCTTCGCATTAATAAGATTTCAAGGATGAACCTATGTAGGAAAGGAACCGAAACCTTGACTGCTAGAATTTAGTAGCTAAAATGTTGTGTAAAAATAATGGTGCTTAATTTTATTCTTATGAAATAATAGTAAGTAAAATTGTTTGATTTGTAAAATCATTCTTTGTGTTATATTTTTCTGTATTTAGCCATAAATGTATTAGCTTTAACTACACGAATATTTTATTTAGGTTACCTAATAACCAAAGGTATTAAAATTAAAGATGAAAAAATTTTTTTGGAGTCACTACTTTTTATAGATCAACAATAAACTATTTTTATTTAATGGGTTGCCCATTATTTTTTCCTCTCCTCACACAAATTAATTGTCGTAAGACCATCTCAGAAGACCATGCACATTAAAGAATCTATCCTTTGTTAAGGGCACACGTTATTTACCTTAGTAGGCAACATATAGGTAATAATGACGTGTGCCCTTAGCAAAGGAAACACCAAACAAATAAATAAAGTGAAAATTATATCACAAATGGCGGGGAATGAACACGCGACCTCTGGCATAGTAGTCCGGTATGTGCACCACTAGGCCAGCGGCTGTTTTTGTGACCTCCGCTCTGTGTCCTCCTTCTTTAATCGTACCTACTAGTGAGTACGTTACTNTACCATCCTTCAGGATATATTTTCGGTAATTGTTCGTCATCATGACCTCGTCAGCAATTGCACAAGCAAAACCCTCGGTTTCCCCAAAGAGGTCACCGAAGCGTAGCCAGTTCACCGAGGCGAGGAGGTCTACATCAGGACCTATTATTATTATTATTCTTGTTTACACGTTGTGTATCTCGATGTCTTATACATCGGTGTATTAATGGTATTCACGGGCCTAAACCAAGTGAATACCAGTACAATAATATAGCTAAAAATAGAAATATTATTATTATAAATAAATAAATTTTCCAGACTGGCAAAAAAGGAAAGTGAGAAAAACTAAAAAACTTAATTTCAATTTTTATTTACAGAGCAAGAAACTATTAAAAGCCTTGTTTCGAAGGTTAACAAAAATATTCCTACACATTTTTATTATAATAAGTACGCACATTATACACATGACTTGAACATAATATAGAGAAANGTTCTCATAAATATGATTCAAACGAGCTCAAACTCGCTGTCGCCAGGCAGAGACCCGTCGCGTGCCATACACTGTTCATACTTATTTTCGATACAGATCCACGCAACGTGAGGGCACATGGAGTGATGAGAGCACTGGACATGGGGTGTTCACTGTTTGTACTCCGAATGAGTGCCGTGACGTCACCGATCAAATGACGCGAAATATTTGTTATGCGCAACTTTGAGGCCTTTTTAACTTCTACAATTGTATTTTTATGATTCTTTCACAATTATCCCACCAAAAACATTCTGTTTTTCATTATTACATTTCAATATTCTGTTATTCACTACCTATGTTGTTAGGCGAGATAATAGCCCATATTGGTATTGGTAATCTAATTGGACGCTAGTGTCTCATTTTAGGCTGTTGTTGATTGTGCAACACATGCATTCAGCATTTGCTGAACAATATCAAGATTATTTATTACTAACCAAATTTTAATATTACGGCTCATTTAATAACTTCCTAAAAAAAAAGGTGATTTACAAAAAAACAATTGGTCACTGTGTTCAGGGCTCCGCCAACATTTATTTATTTATTTATCATTATTAACAACGAAGCTTTATCAAAAAACACATCTTAATACGTGCACTTTTGCGACAATAGTTTCACATCGCTTTTATACGATAAAATTTGTTGCACGGACGACATGAAAGTGTTTCAGTGTTGTGAAATCAATGCATGCACTGTGAAACTTGTCGTTTAAGCGTGAAAGAATTGCTGAAACTAGTGTTAATAAACTCATTAATCATGCCATTATATCGCAATGTAAAATCAGCTTTATTGGTTCCTCATAAATTTTTAACGTTACCGTTATTATAATTTTTCCGTTGTATGAGATATTTTAAACGTGTATCCGAATATTTTCTCACTGGCAATGTTTTAGCTGTCAATTTTATTTTTTGTTTGACGTTTGACATCATAGGCCGCTAACTTCACAGCAAACAATCCATTTTGTTTCCTTTCTGACCGAGTGGAAATTTCAACAATTTTCAATCTCGTTTCAAGTTCACGACGTCGCTGTCGTGTTGATTTGACGTCGATTATTTTCTTGATTGTACAATATCGGGAGTGAAAGGTGCTTAAACAGCATGACTATTGTGTGAAACGTTTGACGTGAGGGATTAACGAATCCTTTTTTTGATTACCTCCTTGATTCAAAGTGAACTCGCGAAAATGGTCCAGGAATACGTGTCCCCCTTGAGGGTCCACAAGTACCCCTTCGAGATGGTGATGGCAGTGAGTATTAAACATTATTTTATTCTTTAATTTTGGCTCCTTTTTGTTCAATTCTTAATTTGTGAATAAAACAGCATCAACATACAGCAAGGTCACTAATTTGAAAGTTAAGTTACTTGGTGTTGTATTGTGGACTACTACAAAATAAACAACTTTTATTATTTGTTTGAATAATTGATGTGTTATAAAGGTTATGTTAATTCTTATTGGAAATGTTTATTTCCTCATCCATACTTGGTGGAAGTCATAGAATGTGGAATGAGGAAGTGAACATTATAGGTGGTTACAAAGAGATCTGTCTCGTTGTAGACACATAACCTGTTATTTTTATGACTTCTTAATAATTTAAACAAGTTACACAATATAAAAAAAACATTGTTGAATAACAATGTAGAATCTGATGTAACAGTAAAAATATTACAAGATTATAATTTATGATAATTTAGTCAGTTTTAAAATTGTACAATTATTTTTTATGCAATTGGCACAAATCTGAGTAAAGTATTAATTTGGTAGCTACTTAGTAAAACGTAAGAAATAAATTATTTTGAATGTCCAATAGGAAATCTTTAGGTTTAGGATCTGCTGTAGAAATTGTAAACAAAGCAAATCAAAACTTTTTTTATATTTTTTGGTTATCTTCATTCTTCACAGCCAGACTACAGGTACCTCTCACTGCCAGATTTAAACTGGTTTTATTCCCAACGCCAAAGTTAGGCTCCATATTTATTGTTTGCTGACGAATACACGATAGACCCATGTTTGGCTTTGAACTTTATTTATTTGTTTTATTGGGCTATCAACATGAGATACAGTATTAAACACAGTTAAAAAATAAACAATTAAGCCAAAGGTCTCTAGCTAACTACTCCTACACAAACGATAACCACAGCATGAACTTAGAATCAAAGTCAAACATGGGCCTAGCATGTATGCTATGCCAATAATTTTTATTGAGTTATGATTCCTTGAAAAGACATAATTTGAGTAATTTGGAATGACACTAATGAGTCTTACAGGTTGATGTTTTCAAAATTATACATTCTATGCTTCTACTAGCATGGACTGGAAATTATTTTTTTCAAAATCACCATATCATAGGCAATTTACCCAATTTTGATTTAATGTTTAGTGTAGATACAGTTTGGAGTGGTTTACACATGCTCAGGAAATAGCTCTTTCTGTAATAACATTAATCCGAATTAGATCAGCCTTCCCAAGAAATCTTGCTCTAAAAGGGCCTACTGTTTTGAACATTATGCCAAAATGACATTAGGCACTTCATTACATTAGCCCTAGAGGTCATTAAAATGTGTGTTTATGTTGAATTTTCAACATCAAAGCTGTGTGTATTTGCCTGCCAGCTTGTTACTGTTTGACCCTGAGAATTGGCTACATCTCTTGCAAAATTGTTTCCACTATGCCTTTCTGGGTTACCTAATTGCAACAAAAACAATGTAAATGTTTCAAGTTAAGATTGTCCTTTGTTGACCTACCTAACACTTGAATTTAAGCTGAACTGTACAGTTAAAAATAACTTTTATTGAAACATTTTGAAATAGTTTTGCATAGTGGATATAAAAACCATTGTTTTCATCATTAAAAATGCTATGAAAGTCTACATGGACTATGAATAAGACTATAAACAGTTTTAATTAACATTTTGTTTATCTTGGGCCCACAAACAAATATGCAATCAATTGCTATGGAATAGTTTCAGTTAAAAACAACATAATATGGACCTACATGTGCCATATTGTTTGCCAAGGCCATGGCAGTACTATGTACAAGTGTAAATATTTATTTTCCAATGTCAGACTCAATGTACACTGTACTAGGCTAGTATAATATTCAATAACAATTTACTGTAAAGAAAGTATTGTTTCATACAAAATAAATAGTAGTAACTACCTATCTTTATGCAACAGATTGAACAAGTCTAAAGTTACTTAATAATATAAACTTTATGCTATTCCTATGTGCTATTCTGATGAATAGACTATTAACTAAAATATTGTGAAGCTTGAAGAAGTCATCAACAATTCTTGCAAGCTTTCAAGCTTTTTACATTCGTTTAATAGCATAGATTGATGATAGAGAACAAATAAATGAACATTATTTCTCAAATAACGCCATCGTGTATTAAAGAAAATGGATATACCTATGAGAAAGATATTTAAAAATTTGCTTATCATCAGCTTTCTCATCGTGTGGTCCAGTTGTTCTACCTAAGAAGCGCATACATTACGAATTTCAGGATTTATGTAAAAGTAACGTTTCTGTGTCATTTCGATGGAATGCTCATCGGCGCGCGATTACTTTTACATTCCGGATTCCGATGGCTGCGGACTGCAGGCCTGCAGCCGATGATAACTGCATATAACTGCATACTGCATTGCAGGCGCCCGCCTACAGTCGACTGTAAATATAAATAACAGAAGACAATCTACACTGTGCGCTCGAGCAACGCGCACATAGGCACTGTTCACGGGCACGATATCGCGTTGTATCGCAAACCAATCTAAACCACCCGCTTGAGAGAGAGTGCGAGCGAGCGCGAGTGGCCACTTGGCTTGAGACAAGTGGCTGTGAACTTTTTCCACTTACTGTAAAAATATGTTTAAGAATTTTGTGATTGTATCTTTCAATACCAGCATCGTACCTACCTACCCACAAACATAAGCTGAGTCAATAATAATAAGTTGGCAATAATGTTAATTAATCTCGTGGAAAAACTACAGCGCCGTTAACTGGTTACACTGGTCAGGGCTCGGCGCGGCCCGTTGGAATTAATTTCGTAACAAATCAAAACTGTCCCTTGCGGTATGTCACCATACCTCTGTATGCTTCCACTTCGCCATCTTTGGATGCGTTAGTCTTCAAAATAACATTGATATAATATAACTATGCTACTCTCTACAATGATGTCCTTTCCTTATCCTCGATGCAAAGAGATGTTATTTCAGCCGAAACTATCATGAGCGAAAGTGACTAGTTAATTATACTTTTCGTGCTCTGAACTTGTAGAGACGACGACATGGGTACAGTCACTGTCAAATAGTTCGTAACACCCAAAGTGGCCAAAAAGTTAACAACACAACATCCAATATTGTGACAAAGACGTGTTGACTATGACTACCTTACTTACAATGACACGTTTGAAGAAAACACGATTGAGGTAAATCTGCCACAAGAGGCTGGTACAATTCGTGCCCTCGTGTCGTGATGCTACAGTTAGCATCAACATTACGTGGGATCTGTTATCGCTTCCATGTCAACAGGAACAATGCTACGAATGTCATTTCAGATAAAGACTTCGTCAAAATATTTACTTGGTGCTGCACGAAATTAGTAAAAATACTAGGTGCCTCCTAGTAGAGATGGGTTANATGATGTTGAATTTTCAACATCAAAGCTGTGTGTATTTGCCTGCCAGCTTGTTACTGTTTGACCGTGAGAATTGGCTACATCTCTGTTGCAAGATTGTTTCCACTATGCCTTTCTGGGTTACCAAGTAGGTAATTGCAACAAAAACAATGAGCATGTTTCAAGTTAAGATTGTCCTTTGTTGACCTACCTAACAGTTTATATTTAAGCTGAACTGTACAGTTAAAAATAACTTTTTAATTTAAACCTTTTTGAATAATTTTGCATAGTGGACATAAAAATCATTAATTGTTTTCATCATTAAAAATACTATAAAAGTCTACATGGACTATGAAATAAGACTATTAACAGTTTTAATTAACATTTTGTTTATAAATCTTGGGCACAAACAAATATGTAATCAATTGCTTTGGAATAGTTTCAGTTAAAAACAACATAATATGGACCTACATGTGCCATATTGTTTGCCAAGGCCATGGCAGTACTATGAACAAGTGTAAATATTTATTTTCCAATGTCAGACTCAATGTAAATACTAGGCTAGTATAATATTTAATAACAATTTACTGTAAAGAAAGTATTGTTTCATACAAAATAAATAGTAGTAACTACCTATCTTTATGCAACAGATTGAACAAGTCTAAAGTTACTTAATAATATAAACTTTATGCTGCTCCTATGTGCTATTCTGAAGAATAGACTATATAAACTAATTATTATTATTATTCTGTTTAATGGCTTCAATGGTGCGTATTTGAAGCACACTGGTTTCGCCAATGTCGAGTGTTTAAAGAGACACGGTGGACAGTGAAATTTGTATATTGTGAAGTTTGAAGAAGTCACAAACATTCAACAATTCTTGCAAGCTTTCTTGTTTTACTACATACATTCGTTTAATAGCATAGATTGATGATAGAGAACAAATAAATGAACATTATTTCTCAAATAACGCCATCGTGTATTAAAGAAAATGAATATACCTACGAGAAAGATATTTGAAAATTTTCTTATCAGCTTTCTCATCGTATGGTCCAGTTATTATAAAGAAGCGCATACATTACGAATTTCAGGATTTATGTAAAAGTGGCGTTCCTGTGTCATTTCGCTGGAATGGTCGTCGGCGCGCGATTACTTTTACATTCCGGATTCCGATGGCTGCGGACCGCAGCCGATGACAACTGCATACTGCATTGCAGGCGCCCGCCTACAGTCGACTGTAAAAATATAAATAACAGAAGACAATCTACATACACTGTGCGCTCGAGCAACGCACACATAGGCACGGTTCACGGGCACGATATCGCGAAGTATCGCAAACCAATCTAAACCACCCGCTTGAGAGAGAGTGCGAGCAAGCCAAGTGGCTGTGAACTTTTTCCACTTACTGTAAAAATATGTATAAGAATTTTGTGACTGTATCTTTCAATACCAGCATCGTACCTACCTACCCACAAACATAAGCTGAGTCAATAATAATAAGTTGGCAATAATGTTAATTAATCTCGTGGAAAAACTACAGCGCCGTTAACTGGTTACACTGGTCAGGGCTCGGCGCGGCCCGTTGGAATCAATTTCGTAACAAATCAAAACTGTCCCTTGCGGTATGTCACCAT